TTGAGAAATGCAGATCTCTCCCCGTCCCCAACGGCCCTGCCAATGCCCCCATACCATGGATGAGCTTCATGAAACCGTGGCATCATATGAAGAAAAAAAATCATCTAGATTTTCTAGACTCAAGAATTAAAATTTCCATCACTATATAGCTGTAATTTTATTGGCTGTATATTGCTTAATCTTTTTTTTTTAAATATCTTGTACTAAGACGTTGGTGAGGTTGTTTTTGTTTTTTTTTTTTTTTTTTTTTTTTTTTTTTTTTTTTTTTTTTTTTTTTTTTTTTTTTTTTTTTTTTTTTTTTTTTTATTTTTTTTTTTTTTTAAATTTAGACTATTGTTTTTTTTTAAAGGTACATATTGAAAAAAATGTAATGTTAATATCAACATATTAAAAAGTATCAGTGAATAATCCAGTAATTTAATTAAATAAAACGTATTTAAAGTTCGATGGATGATCTGTAAAAAAAAATTATGTAACGTAGGAAACTATGATAAAAAATACACAGTTAAAATTTTCTTCACTTTGTGTATTAAGTTATTTATCGTATAAAATGTTTTGTCGGCATCCCGTACTTTCTGAACCCACCGTGAGTAACTCAAGCCAGTAATATGCATAAAAATAATAGAGAAAATATAGAAAATGTGTCAAAGAAAAGATTTCCGTGTAGGAGTTGCATTCTCCGCACCCCCGCTGGGACTGAAGACCAGCCCAATAAATGTTCAGGCACTCACGCATGTAATGGAGATTTACTTAATTAGAATTTTTTTTAAAAAGCAGTTACGTCATATTACCTCTGACTAGACATAGATTTTTTTATGAGAACGGCAGCCTTGTGCTTAAATGAGGGAAAATGAGTTTTGGGATGGGTACACCTGACTGTGTGTTGCGATGGGTAGATCTGAAAGTGTATTGGGATGGGTACATTTGACAGTGTGTTGAGATGGGTACATCTGACAGTGAGTTTGAATGGGTACATCTAACAGTTTTTTTTTTTGGATAGGTATATCTAACTGTGTTTTGCGATGGGTACTGCAGTTAACAGTGTGTTGGGATGGATACAGCTGACTGTGTGTTGCAATGGGTTTATCTCATATCACCTTTGGATGAATTCACACAACGTCTTAAATACGCGAGATAATTAATTGTATGAATCTTATTATTTCTAAAGAAGAAGAGCGAACTATTATATGAAAATGTTACGTACGGTGCACAGGAAACATCATTTGTATTGTTCCATAAATTTAATACACAGTCTTGCTTTCAAAAGCTCTCCAAGACAACTTGGTGGCTGGGACGTCATTTGGGTAGTGTAGGGTGGTGCATTTGCCCCCACCCCCCTGAATCTGCAGGTTTTTATTTAAACAACTTCACAAGCCGACCAAGTTTTGGTCGTCCCCCCCCCTCCCCTGAAAAAAACCTGAAATGACGCCCATGCTTGGCGGCCTAAAGGACTGTAATAATTTCAAAAAACTAACTGTATTTATAAATAGTTTTAATCCTGATAAATAGACTTGGCAGCACTGGGGTAGGAAGGGTGGGCGGAGGGAGCGTTCCACCCCGAGCAGAACCTTCTTTTCCTTATATGAAGGGGCGTCATTTTTTTAAACCATAAACAGAATTATTTTCGTGGATGGTGATAGCAGTATCTCAGCACACCCCCCCCCAGGATGCACTAACCCTTAGCAACACCACTGCATAGCAGTTTTCATTTTAGTGCTACTTAATTTATTTTCTTCCTTTCACCTCTTAAGGAGGGAGCCACAGCAGTCCCGTCTCCCCCCCCCCCCACTTTTGAAAAATAACCCACCGCCCATTCAAGAAAAATGTCATACTTAGTTTATTATCGTGTTGGTCTTTACATAGATTCACATTAACCCCTCCAAAACTCATGAGGATGTCTCCCTGGATCAAATTGCCATCTAGTAAAATTGTTATGGCACACAATAGAAAGATGAATTACTTTGTTGTTTTTGTTTTAATTAAATTGTAATTATCTTTAAATTTAAACACACGTACCACCTTGACCTTATACAATTTAGAAAAAAATATTTAAATGTCCTGTTGTGGATTTCCGCATCCGATTAGTCTCTTGCCCTGTTCAATATTGCGTAGGACGATATCTAAAGACAGTGGTTTACTTCGGCTCACATTGACCTAACTACATCAGCTCACCCCTTTCGTCTTCTCCCCCCCCCCCGCCCCGAACCACGACCCCCAACCCACCCTTGGACTTAAATCTATCGTCGCCAATACATCACCGATTAGGCTCTTGCCCTGTTCAATATTGCGTAGGACGATATCTAAAGACAGTGGTTTACTTCGGCTCACATTGACCTAACTACATCAGCTCACCCCTTTCGTCTTCTCCCCCCCCCGCCCCGAACCACGACCCCCAACCCACCCTTGGACTTAAATCTATCGTCGCCAATACATCATACTTAATGTCGCGCGGTTTGCGTTTGACAAGCTAATCAATTCAGGCGGGATAATCCTTGATGTGAACCGGACACAAGATCCGGTCGGGAGGTCTTATGGGATTGATTATCGGCCGTGTTGTTTCCCTCCTTTTAACAAAAAAATCTATCTGGTATCTATTTCCATTTATTCTTCAGTCCGTCATGAAACATCTTCATTATATAATTGGTCTGGTGGGAACGAGAGTGCGGGTAGGGATTTTTCCCAAAGCCTGTAGCATACCAAATATTCACTGCACATGATCTCTATTGGTTTTTACTCAATAACACTCATGGCAAAATTAGGTTTTTAATTAAACAATCCCTAAAAACAAAGTTTTTTGTATTAATCGTGTTTAAAAGATAATATCGAGCAAGGGACGGGGATGAAAATTTGACAAAACATACAAGTAACGCACTTTATAAGAATCCCAATTAATGCTCCCCTTTCCCAAGGCTCACATCCGTACATTTTTTTTCCACGGCCCCTGAACTAAATTGATATTCTAATGACCCACCTACTTTTACACTGTAGATTTATTTGTCCAACTATTTCAGAAAAAAACATAAGAAAATATTACGCACCAAACGCACTTGCGATATCTATCTATTTTTTTTATTTTAAATCTCATTAGCGCAGTTATCGGTAATTTCATTTTGTTGAAATCAGCGTCATCATATTTCCTTCACCTTCCAATTGAAAAAAAAAAATAAGGAAAAACTGATTTTTGGATGTTGGGAGCGGAGGGTGGGGCTGAAAAACGTGACAGAAAGTGTTGTCATTGGCAACGAGTTTATGTGCCAAGTTTCAGCTCGATAAATACGGGGAGTGGGTCAATTAGCAGTCTGAATATTTTGCCAGCCAGGCACCCACGAACAAAAGCGAATTTAATATAAAAGATTTTTTTTTAAAAAAGGAAGGTGATTAATCGCAATTCTTGACCTAGCTAGGCATTACCTTAATTGCCAAAATGTATTAAAATATTGTTACTATTTGTGATTTGCATGGGGGGGGGGGTTGAAAATAGGGGTAAGCGGTAGTGTCAATAGGTGCGGGGGTGGGGATGGTGTGGACTGCGACTACCTCCTAGGGAATGGGTGGAGGTGGTGACACCAAATGGAAAATAGCAAATTTGACAGAGTTCGCTAGAGTCGACGTTTACAAAAATAGAAGGTTGCCACTATAACAGGTTGCCACTACAAAAGGGTGTCACTACAACGGGTGCCCCTATCCCAGTGTGTCACCCGACCATGTTGCCAGTAAAGCATGTTGCGAATTATGAAGGGAGGGTGGCACCAACTCTACTGACCCCACTTGGATTGGGGGGCGTACCCAACTTTTTTTTAGCCCCACCTAAACACTTTAAATATTTAATTTATTGCTTACCTCTCTTTACCGTAAGAGCTTTTTTAAAAAAAGTCTTCATGCTGCCGTTAGGAATGTTAAATTTCAATGTCGCGTCAAGTATCCCATATGTCACAAAATTCAATTTTTAAGGCTAAAACTTAAATAATCTAAATATAATTGTTTGGATCAAAGACAAACAATGACCGTGATACACACAATTAAAGTGGCCTGGCTAGCATTTCCCACCACATCCCTTTTTATTCTCTAAGTCCAAAACTAAATTTCTTTCTCACCACCCTAAAAGAAATTAAAAATTGTCCATGTGCGGAATTGGTCATACACCTTTAATGTTCTGATTGCATGTTCCCCATAGGAACAGTAACAATTAACAACTTGAATGGTGTTTCGCAACATTTTAGAATTAAGTTTTAGCGTGTCCTAAGATTTTAATTTTAAAAGGGTTTTAGTTGTAGTATAGGAGTGTAGTATAGGTCTAAAAATATATTATGGTTTATTTGTCTTATCTAAGTTTAATAAAGACAAATATCATCCATATGAATCTGTAAGGCAAAATTTTGCAGTTAATCCATCAAAGACGCGGTTTAAACTTAAATTTTTAACAGAACAGTCCTTGCTTTCTTTTATTTTTATTTTGTCTTTAAAAGGTCTTTACTTAATATATTGTAAAATTCGTCGTGAATAAATCTTTGTCATTAGTAATGATTTGCAGGCCTACATTACCGTTACAGTTACATGTTATGATTACATTTAGCCTCACGTACTCATACTCATACTCTGATCATACCGTTTAAATTTAAACGAATTTAACTAAGCTTTAATTTATTTTAATATTTATACTTTATTTTAAAATTGCATTATCACACTCTTCTAATTTTTTAAAATAATTTCAGTGACGTATTTATCTGAGTAATTTAATTATTTTCTTTTAAACGAAAACCAAAATATTTGGGGAAAAAAAAAAAAAAAAATTGATTATACATAAAATTATTTTTATAGAAAATTGCGAAAATAAAATCCGATGGATTAGTGTCCAAATACAAGAAATCATTAAAATAGCAAGATGTCGACTGCTACGAGTCGAATGCTACAAAAGCACAATATCTCAACATATTTTTTACACACTATTAAGTCTTAATCAAGTAAAGTATTATTAAACAGCTGACAATTTGCATTTACCTCAAATTTTTTAACGCAGTGAATCAGTGAATGGTAAGGTGCTCAATATTGAACACAAAGAATTTTTAAATATTTTAAAATTTAAAATAAAATTAATAGTAAAAATAGTAATTATAGATAGGCCATAGGCTATAGGCTAATACTAAATAGGCATAGGCTAAAACTAAAACAGTGATAATTAGTAATAATAGTACGCTTTAGACTGTAACTCAACCAAGCAGTAGTTTTTACTTATTGATTTATTTTAAAATAATACAATTTATTTATGATTAGGGAGAGAATTTATTTCATTTGGAGATTAGTAGACTGTAGACTCCAGCTGTCTGTACTCAGTTTTTGTTTTTTTGTTGTTTTTTTTAAAGTTGGGGGAGGGGGCGGGCGCAACCAACCCTGGTTGGACAATCCTTTCAATATATTATTTAATGAGTAGTCGAATTTTTGGTTTTGCCTTGGTGGGGTAGGGGGGAAAAAATTCTTGACCTGACCAGGTGGCACTACTTTTAAGCTGCTGCCTGCAAATATACAACACTCTACTGCAGTGTTTCCTTACCTTTTCTATAGGCTTACTCCTTACCCCCAGGAATTAAATTCTTTGACTAGTTGATAAGTCATGCACCAGCGTCTTTCAAATGTTTTACAAAGTTTTGCACCCATGTGAAGTAGAAAGTATTCAGGGAACTTGAAAATGCCTCATTCAAAGCTGGCCTTGATATAAATGAACGAAAGACAAAATATATGATAATGTCAAGAAACTCCCATGCTGATAATAACATCAATATAAATAACCACAAATTTGAGAGAGTGGCTACATTCAAATATCTACGGGCAACTATAAATGAGTACAATGAGGTAATGTCAGAGGTGAAAGAAAGGATAACAACCGTTCCTATTTTAGTCTACAAAAGCTACTGGGAAACAAAAACCTCTCAAGGGGAACAAAGAAGACAATATACACCACCATCATAAGACATGTAGTAACGTACGCTAGTGAGACCTGGACCCTCACCAGAAAAGCAGAAAACCTGCTCAACACAAGGGAGAGGAAAATCCTCCGCAAAATATACGGACCAGTGATAGAAAATGATATCTTGAGAATACGTACAAACCAAGAACTATAGTATTTGTACAATGAACCACCCATAGTCACAATGATAAAAAAGGCAGAATACGCTGGGCAGGTCATGTTGAAAGGATGCCGGAATGCAGAGCAGCCAAAATTATATACAGGCAGAAGCCTAGGGGCAGACGACTCACCGGTCGCCCAAGGATGAGGTGGACTGATGATATGGAGACAGATTTACACCAGTTGGGGGTTCGAGCATGGAGACGGAAAGCCATGGATCGCTATGAGTGGAAAGATGTGGTGGAGCAGGCCAGGGCCCTACATGGGCTGTAGTGCCACTGATGATGATGATGAAAGTAGAAATGATTTGGAAATAATGAATATCTAATTCAGTTATTGAATTACAAAGTTCTCTATAAAAATTAGAAAGTAAACGTGTGACTTGTTAAATAAAGAAAAATTTAATAAAATTTTAAACAATAAATTAACATGTACATCATAACATAAAAGCTAATAGCTCTGCTGCTCTATTAATCCCTTTTTGTTGCAACCCTGAAATGCCACCTCGCACCTCCTGGGGATAAAAGCACCTTAGGTTGGGAAGGCAAGCTCTAATGTTACTGTCAAATACTAAGTCTTAACCTTAACATTAAAAAGATATTTTAATTATTATATGCCTATAGTTATAGGCCCTATGAGGCATTTTTAAATAGAAAATATCGGGACCTAATAAGATTATGACAAGAAGCTGCAACCATGTGGTAATATTGTGCCAAAGTAGGATTTCAAATTCAGTCAACTTGCCTTATGAGACAAGTTATTATTAAACATATTTGTAATGTGCATGTCATTGAAAATCACTCTGTATGCCAAGTCTGACACCTGTATTGGAGGTTGTGGACAACTTTTAGGGTCTATGTGACAACAAAATTTTTTGAAATAATAAAATAAACCATGTTTGTGCTTAATTAAAAATGGATTTTTTAATGGCATTTTTTTTTCTAAATTAATAAATAATTTAAGGTACATAACTGCTAAAAATGTTTCCATTTTTACAGAAAGTGAAAGCAATGTCATTTCGATCCACATCTTCTGCTCGCAGCGAAGGACGATCAAAGATGAAAAACTTTGTCTCCAAGTGGTACTCTGGATTATTGAAAAGGTTTCTCATTTTTAATATTGTCACTTTCAACTTTTAAAATCACGATTCTTATACAATACTAAATTAAGCCGGAGTATAATGAAAATAATTGTTTCCTAAAAATAACTATAGATGGTCTAATCATACAGACCCAATGACCGTAGTGCAGAGCAGGTCCTCTTGGCTCATTCACACTTGAAAGACCTGAATATATTCGACAAATTTCACACTAGCCTACTTCAACAAATCTGCTGTTATGCCCACTATGATAAGCTGGATGAAAATACAATAGGTGAGATTGTAATATTTACTAAAAGCACCAAGTGCAACTATTTTAGAAAAAAACAACTTTCAAAACCATTTTTGTAGACTCATTTATTAATGAAAATTCAAAGCTTATTCAAATCAATCATTTTAAAACTGATTTTAAAAAAAAATAATAAAATAACATGGTGATTTTCTTGCAGTGATTCGACAAGGTGAACATGGAGCCAACTGGTACATTGTTTTGTCTGGCAGCTTAACAGTGTTTATTTCAGAAAACAACAAAGCCAAGGTAAGTTTTTGAAACATCAAGAAAACTATACAAATTTGTATCCTTCTCTTTGTTTATTTTTCTAAATCACTAAAAATTCACAAAAATTCACAGCAGAAATTTTACTGCAAATTTTTCTAGGTCAGCACAACTATTTTCACATCGAAAAGTTGATACAAAAAGGGATCTGGACGTTTTAGTTTCTTGTACTTGTATGCTGACATTTAATTTTTAATCAAAGTAATCATTAAAAAAATTACTTCTCCCTGCTGCAAATACCTGCCATCAAAAGAAAAAGAATATTAGAAAGACCTTTATGCTTTATTACACTAAAATACTAAAACACTTCTGAGGGAGCTGCACTGGCTGCCGGTCCGCGCTCACATAGAGTACAAAATTGCAACTTTGTGCTACCGCTGCTTACATGACCTGGCGCCATCTTATCTCAAAGCACTCATGACGCCTTATGTACTCACTAGAGAGCTCCGCTAATCCGATAGTGGCAAAATATCGAAACCGTGTGTTCGCCTTGAGACTTACGGAAAGCGCAGTTTTGCATTTGCCGGCCCAACAATTTGGAACGCACTTCCAGTCGCTCTCAGAAACAGCCAGACACTGGAGTCCTTTAAAACCGATTTAAAAACACATCTATTTCGCAAACACCTTCTGGGGTGATGCTAATCTACCATCTTTTTCAGTTAATGTATATTGGCTTGTGTTGCTTATGGTTGAAACGGGATGAAAGACTTTGACTGGGTATGCTCATATGTAGCTTTATATTGTTGTGTCTGTTTTTAAATGTGGTAAATTTTAGATTGTTTTTATTTCTCTTTTTAATATGGTTGACTTTGTACCGCGCTTCGAGCTTTTGGGGATGAAGCGTGTTTTTCAAATAAACTTTATTATTATAATTATTATTATTAGTTTGTAGCTTTTTAATTTTTTTTTCTTTTTAAAATATGCACTTAAAAAGTATTTTTTTTTTTAACTCAAAACTAATTATTGCCTAAATGATTTTGTAGAAAGTGTAGCACACTCTTGACAGCAGTGTTAACTAGTGGCCATAGCTATTAAAATGAAAAAAATTCTTAAGAATAGAAAACTCACTGGGAAATCCAAGTAAACTATCCTGGATGGGGAACTTACCCCACAACCTATAGAGGGGCAGTTATCTCCTCCTGTAACACTCATTAAAGATTTTTCTTGAGTTAAAGTTTTTCTCATGTGTTTATATTAACAATTTTATTCAAAATTTCTGTCAGCCATTGTGCACTCTTGTACCTGGTTCATCTTTTGGAGAGGGCATCTTTACCCAGGATCCTCACCAGATGACTGTCATCACTAGCACTGTAGTGGAGCTGCTTTGGTTGGAATTTAAAGACATGAAAATTCTTTGGGAGGTAGGAATATTTTAAAGCACATTTGTAACATGCATCAACTCTGAACCAAACCCAGCCAAAAAAAAAAAAAACCTACTTAAAAACCCTGAAAATAACCTAGTGGTAATTGCATTTTTAATACTGTATAGTTTTTTTTTGTGGAGAATGAGGTAGCTGGCCTGTGGACCAAATTTTAGAAAGGTCTGAACTGTTGTCCATAACAGAATGTAAAAGCATGGTAGGCCTAATGGGGACTACAAAAATATTTTGTAAAGCATTATTGTAACTAATAACAATACATCTCTTAATGTTTCATTAGTGTCTATTTATCAATTTATAAAATGTTTTTGTTGATTATTTTGAAATTACTCAAATAATCTCCATATATATTTTTAAATTTACACTGTGTGGCATTATGGTGTCATATTTACCAAAATAGTTAACGAATTTTATTTTTTAAAGAAAATCTACTTTAAAATTATTATTGTTACAGAGAAACAAAGAAATGATGGAATCAGCAGTTACTGCTCTTGGAAGTCTGCCCAACCTTAATGGTACGTTTTTATGTGTAATGATTAGAATAGCGAGAACTACCGGTACTGACAGTGGTTGTAATCCCCTTTAGTTTCTTTTTGTTAATTAATTTAGTAATGTTTTCTCAAACACACAAAAATCAACCAAGTTGACTAGAAATGTAAAAAGTAGCAGTATTTCTAAAAGATATTTGTCAGTTTATTTTTTCTGTTGTATTTATTGCTGGTACTGGGATGTAATGTTGATAAGAAATAAAATTAATTTCAATTAGCAGTAATCTTCACAGCTGTTTTTTTTTTAATAGTATCTACTTTAGATTTATTTCCTGTAAAGTATCTAGGTGAAAGAGAAGACGCTAATGACAATAAAGCAAGGTTTTTATCATCATTGTATTTTTCAAAGATGAGATGAGAAGAATTCACACTGGAAAAGACCTTGACCTGCAGGAGACTAACCCTAATCCAGCTTCCCCAATATCAATGGTGAGTGACACAGGTTTTTTTCTTCTTCTTTTTTTTGCAACTTTTTTTTCTGATTTTGTAGTTTCTGGCTCTTGTATATTCATAGTTGAGTTCAGAAAGCTTACTTATAAGTAGGCTAATAATTTTTCAAAATGCGAGACATTACTTTAAGCAGTTTTATATGTGTTATGTCAGTTCATATCCTTAAACTTCCCCTTTAAAATCTCCTTGTGCTGTGGGTACTTGTTCCTCAATGTAAGTTTTTCCTAAAATAATGAAAATGCTTACAAATGCTTTTGAGGTTATTTTGTTTGGCACAGTGTGTGGTCTCCACACCAGATAATATATTGACATTTGTTGTCTCAGAAATATCCAACTTTTTAAATATTAATTGTGTGAAATTTTTGTTTATAGTGATTCTATTTTTTTCCCCTTTAAATCTGTCCTCTTTATAGTTTAATAAATTATTAATGAAATAATTAACCTTCATTGAGGATAATTTCATCATATATGACATAAACAATTACTATACATGTTGCTCAGGAGCCTTCTGATAAGATGTCACATGCAGCTTGGGTATTACGTGTCATCCTTCTTTCAAGATACACACATATGATTAGGGACAGAAAGTATCATCTACGTACTTACAAGAGATGCATGGTAGGATCAGAAATGGTAAGATTACTCTGCAGTTCAAATCTACTAAATTTGTCATTTTTTACTATAATCTGAATCTTTAACGATTTCATTTCATTCCTGGTCAGGTATTAAATAAACATTTCTTTAAAATGTTTATTTGTTAAAAAGAAAATTTTTGGTTTGTTGAAATGTTTTCCAACAAAAATCTCTCCATCAGAATGTATACTTATTATTTTAATCTTCTGACACTCACCCTTGTGACTGTGACAGCGTGGCTTCAGAGCATGAAAAGGAGAAGAGTAATGACCCATGTTCTTGTTTTATGATACTTAACTACTATTTCTTATTTTATGCAAAATGGTTCTAATTTTTTTCTTAACTTAACACGCTATTTCTTAAATAATTTTCAAATGCTTGTTTTTAGGGTGATAATAAATATTTTATGTAATGTATCATCTCACATAAAAGGAAATGCCTTACAATTTTGACATGTTTCAGGTTGACTGGATAATGGATGTATTTCCTCGTGTAGACTCCAGGGAACTCGCTGTCGGAATGTTTCAGGCTCTTCTTGAAGATGGAGTTCTCTTACATGGTATTTTGCAGTCTGAAAAAGAGGATTAGTACACTGATTTTTAACTTCTGAATGGTTGTAAAAAAGCAAGCAAATTACAGAATTAGCTTGCCTGCAATCAAATTCCATTATGTGGAGAGAGAAATTTTTACAAGCAAATCTTCTCTTATAAGTAAGCTGTCCCATTTTTAAAGGAAAGAACTCTCAACCATATACATGTTCCTTACTACTTTACAAAACCATTAAATTATGTAATCAGAAGGTCAGTTGGGGAGGGGAGGTTCAAGAGTGGAATGGTGAGGGGGCTGTAATATCTACTGAGATCAGAGAAGCCGGTAAATCACCATGATGCAAAAGGTGTAGTAGTAAAAAAAAAAGAAAATTGCTCTCTTTTATATAATTATTATTATTTTATTTTTTTTAAAATTCAGTAGAACACTTTCACAAGCCCTCTTTGAATCTTAACTTGGTTATCATGTGTCTGCACTTTTATCAAACAACAAATTATTTCCTCACTGAAATTTTCAATACACCTCATTTTTAAAAAATCATCTTAAACTACATTCTCTGGTGCATTGCTTTACTTAAGTCATACATTTTACGTCCTTGCATTTATCCATTAAGTGTCACCAATGTCCCACATGAAGGTAAGCTGCGTTTTTTTTTTTCAGTATGCAAGCAGCACCCCTTTCTTGACAAGTATCTCTTCTACCGTTTCCTGGAGGACGAAGAAGGTCCTGGGTGTACAGCTAGTGAGGAGGATGTTGAGGGGGCTGAAGATGAACTCCTCGACGTGCTCACTGTGTTAGCTCAAGTCAGCCCTGATGCTACCATGAGAATGATACTTCGTAAACTGTAAGTTAAATCTAGTGCTGCAATTAGATTTCAGATTTGAGTTACCATATAATCGACCCACTTGAGACAGAGCCTTTTTGGATTATCGGTGCCGAGAATACAGAGCCCTTTTTCACAAGCTCTGCAATTACTTTGCAAAAAAAATTTATAAAAAAATAAGCTAATTACTTTACAAATATAAAAGAATATATATTATTGTAAGGAATCATGTAAACTAATACGTTCTTTATGAATGAAACTGAAATCTCAGTATTGATGCATATGAGATATTCTGATTTGCATAATTTATGCATGTAATTTTTATTGCAATTAGAATAAACATGTCTTACTTGAGGGAATTGTGTTAAATTTTATGAATGTTGAAGCCTAAATTAGAACTAATCCATAATATATGAATGAGATTCGGTGTGAAAAACTTCATAAAATATTCTCTTGGAGCTGCTTAAGGTTTTTGTAATATTTTCCGGTTATATAGTATTTTTTGGGGTCACTAGATACAAACAAAATTGATATAAAATGACAGAACACTGTAAACCAGGGGTGGACAAACTTTTTGTGCAAAGGGCCACATTGACAAATTTAATGTAAAGCTATTGGGGGGCCGCATTTATATTATGTCCAATTTTTACATTTTGATAAATATTTCTCTATATTAAAATCGGTTAATTCACATTTTTGCCCACCCCTGCTATAAACTATCAGTGGAAGCTGCCATTTAAATGGTGAGATGAGCATGAAATGTGAGAAGCAATCTGATAATATGGTACAAAGACCCGCCAGACAATCTCAAGGTTTTTTATTGGTCGCTCGACCTTTCGTCTTTTTCGCTCTATAACACTCTGGACCAACAGATCCGCCTAGCACTCTCAAGAGGGTCAACCACATATACTTTGTCCTGAAGGAATAATTCTGTATTTATTTATAATTTTCCTTCACACCTGACACCAGTCATAATTTGATTTCTGATATATTGATTTTTGATAAATTTATCATTTTGGTCAAATAGTTGCCTGGCATTCTTATGAGACAGGTTTTTTTCTTAAATTAATCATTACATGTAACCTGCCTCATAATTGAAATTAACCTCCAGACCAGATGAAAGAACTCAGGATGAGATTGAGGTAATATACGATGAGCTTCTCCAAATAAAACCTCTGCAACACTTGTCCTACACTGTCAAGAGAGAGCTGGCTGGGTGCATCATGTTTGAGGCACATTCCAAGTCAGGGGCAGTTTGTATGTAACTTGTCTACATGAGGACTTATTTCTTAATGGTTTTTTTTAAGGATTAAATTTAATTGATTTTGTTGCAGGGAGTAATTATTTCATTAACATTCATAAGATATTTTTACATGGGAGTTATGATTAATTTAAGAGGGCAGTAATTCTGATATGCTTCACAACAAAAACTTCGACACTTATATAGACCAACTTGTAATTTTTATTTTTTTTTAAAACAACTCTTTTATAAAGTTCACTTCTTTCTACTTCTTTACATTATTTTGAAAAGGTTTTAAATTTGCTTAGCATTCTTAAAAAAAAGTTTCTCTCAAGTAACTTTATTTATTTTGACAAATTTATCTTTTTTAAAATAAGTTTATAAATGCTTCATTTTTATTATAATTTTTTTTCTTTAAGACTTATTTTCAAACTTTTTTTTTTTTATTTCAGTGTTCAATCAAGGTGATGAAGGTAGATCCTGGTACATCATCCTGAAAGGTTCTGTGAATGTGTCCATCTATGGGAAAGTAGGTGCTTCAGTTTTCAGGACCCACAACTTATGAACAGTATGGGAAATATTTAATTCCTCCTTTTATAGAAATTTTATTATATAGCTTTTACACAAATAAATTAAAAATAAAATTCAATTATTTTCCATTCAGGGAGTTGTTTGTGTGCTTGGAGAAGCAGATGACTTTGGAAAGTTGGCTCTGATGAATGATGCACCCAGGTATTATCAAAATCGGGAATTTTTTTAATTTTTTTAGTTGCAGAATGTTTAAATGGGGCTTTTAATTTTTTTCAAGATTGATTCAGCATTGCATTGAAATATTTAAAATGAGTAAATGTTTAAAGACACAAGCTTCTTTATGTTATCCGGTATGTTTTGGTTGATTAAATGTGAGTGTCAATATTCTTTTTACCACAGGGCAGCAACCATTGCTCTTGCTGAGGATAATTGCCATTTTCTTCGTGTTGATAAAGATGATTTTAATAGGATTCTAAGGGTAAACTCATAATTTTTTCCAAAGAATAAATAAAATATATTTTGTTTTTGACTTCTAACAGGAGGCCCATTAATTACTGTCTACAAAAAAGTATCTTTTAGATCATAAGTATATTGCTACTCCATGGTTTTTCATTTTATTTGTATCAAATTTTAACAGCTTTGAAATCCTGGAAACTATTTAATGAGATTGCCAGGCTGCAATTTTTAGTTTATCTTTGCACACAGTGTTGTGTCTTTTAAGTTACATTTAATTTATCGCATTCTATATGGGAAGGTCTGATTAGGAACAGATAGAAATTTCAATTTTGTCAGGTGCTAATGGTCTCCTTTTCTTGTATCTGTGCTTTCCCCATGAACACTGTCATTTTTCTGTTAGATCACTTTCAACAGTGTAGCCATTTTTCTCTTTGGACCTAGATCACTTTCCACTGAGTATACATTGTTCTGTAAGGATTAACCAAGATCACTTTCAACAGTGTAGACATATTCCTATTAGGATTAACCAAGATTCCTTTCCACTGTGTTTGTAGCTTCTTATCACTGAAAATAGTGAAACCATGCCAATCATGTTTTTATATCAATGCTTCATCTCTGCCACCAGCCATGATAATGATCTACAGGTTAGCAATTTAACAAGTTTATTTGGGTTTTTTTTTTTACAATCTTGCAGGATGTGGAAGCCAACACTGTTAGGCTTAAAGAACACGGGCAAGATGTTCTGGTTCTAGAAAAAATACCAGTGTCTGTGGACATGAATGGATCTTTTCACTCAGAGCACAAGTTAGTTGAACACTTTCTCCAACCACAGATTTATTTAATAATGAACTCTGTACCTTTAACCAACTTTTCACAATGGTGTTATTTTGTGAACTTGAAAATATAAAAAAAGTTAAGTTAACGTAGACCCAATTTTTTTTTTGCTACTCAACTTATCATTCTTTGTCTTCTACAATTTAATGTAGTGTAATATGCCACTTGAATCATTGAAGAGGAAGAGAAGTTTTCTAAATTAATTTGCATTATTTTGTAAAAAAAACAAAATTTCAACAATTTTAATTTTTCTTAAGCACAATGACATATTTCAGTTATTGCGTTTTAATAAATATATTCCAATAAGAAGGATTGTATTTATTTCTTTGTAAATTTTCTATACAATCATTTACTTCCAGATACTCAGTGATGGCTGGGACACCTGAAAAGGTTTTGGAATATCTGTTAGAGACCCGCATGGAGCAGAAGAAAGAGCAGCAAGTTCAGGGTAAGCATAAAATATATATAGGTATATACATCTTCTAATTTTTAAACCTGATAATGGGCTGTGCTTTGTTGGTGGCATGATAAAAAACTGTATTTCCCAAATTTTTAAGTTTGGTGGACCAGTGGACAGGTTTAAAAAATGAACCATGAACTGGTGCCAGATTTATTTATACACTTTCTTTATTTGACTATAAATATTCATGTTGTGCGGCCTCTGTTGAAGAGTACCGGTATGTAGTGTCTGTTAAGCCCACTTTGAAATATTCAATTAATTTCTTACATTCTTTTTTTCCCCTCAGATGTCTTCCTGGAAGATTTTCTTCTCACCCATTCCATCTTCTTCCCTGATAACAAACTGTGCTCAGCTGTTGTAAACCAGTATCCTTAAAAGTTGAGAATAGTCTTTTGCTGATCAAATGAAAATTGAATTCAGTGAGGGCATTTTCACTTGCAGTTTTTTTTTGTCAAATCAATTTCCAATAGAAATAAAAGGTAAAAATGTATGATATATTACAGCACATTTGTGATGTGTAGCATGATTTATTTTTTTTTTGCCAAGATTGCCTAGCTTATCTGATTCAGCACATTGTCTTGCTAATTGTTCTCTGAGCTTTGTCTGTATCTATTCTGGAGTAATTTGGGGTGGGGGAGGGGGGCCGAGCAGGACTGGCTGGGACTTATTTTGAACTGGTAGAAGCATTGGCTGTAGAAAACCAAATCTAAATGATCACTAATTAAGTTATTGTCTTCACTAAAGGAGTTCACTGATGGCTAATTTCTATGTCAAAGAAATACTTTAGATGCCCTGTGTTTTAATACAACATTTTACAATTACAGCAATTTATATTTAAAAAAGTATTTTTTTATGTGCTAAAAAGGAATATGTACAATGCAATAAAAAAAACATTTCCATTTATTTGGATTGGTAAAGAATCTTATCTTATCTTTATAGGCATAGTGCACTCAGTAAGGGGTTTTAATTTTTTACCTGCAAGCATGTTGACAAAATTTTTAACCTAGGGCTCTAAATGCATTACTGCCATGAGAACTACAATGTCTAACATGTTTCCAAATGAGGGCTCTTTTCTCCACCATTAATGATATGAAAATCCCTATTAATATTTCTGTAGGTAGTTTAAAAGTAATACAATATTAAGCCTGGTCACATAGTTTGGTCTTTAACCTGCATGTCAGCTATAACTCGGACACCAAAGCCGGAGACGGTCAGGACGATGGAGACTTTGTCCAGTCGCAAAAGAAATGTGTCATTCATTTCGTTCTAGCCTGGCATGAATTGGACAGTGAAAAATTTACCAACTCCACTGTTGTTGGTAGCTTCCTAGAGGTGGGCACTTTTAACTAACTTCATATTTCTAGTCTCCTAGTGGTAGGCACATTTTTAAAAATTAACTTTGTTTTGTTTTAAACTGCTTTCAAGTCATGTGAATAAAATTGTAAGGACATGGTATGCAAAAGCTGGAATAACGACAAAAGACAACGAAAAGGATGTTTCGGCTGAAAGCCTTCATCAGTAAACTAAATTAAAACAGTAGAGAATAAAATCACAACTTAGCTTAGTAGAAGTGGATTGGAATTATTAGCCTCCTAGAGGTAAGCTTTTTTTTTTTACTTTCTTTGTATTGGTAGCTTCCTAGGGGTAGGCAAATTCATTTTAACTACTTTTTGCTGTTAGCTTTCTAGATGTAGGTAATTTTTATGGTACCAGTTTTATGAATGTAATGTCAAAGTTTTTGTTGTGAAATATAATTACCATTTGGTTTAATTGGTACTTTTATTTTCCCAGTGTTTGACCAAGTCAGTGGGTCAAGACTGCATCACACATCCAGGTCTTATATCTGATCACGAGGCTCTATTGGCCATTTCAAGTATAAGAAAAAGGTAAACAATAGATACAAGCAGCCTGAATGAACTGTCCCATGCATGCAATAACTCACATTCACTCACACTAAGCCTATACTATACACGGAAGGATCTTTTTAGTTAAGATATTAAAATCCAGTAGATATTTCCGTTGTTCCTTGACAGGCTGTGAAGCAATATAAGTGCAAATTTTATAATTTTTTTAAATTGCATCTCTTGTCATTAAAAATTTTCATTTTTTAAATTCTTTGAGGATAAGTATAAGTTTTCATGTTTGGCTTATAAAATAATTAATTATCAATAATGTTTAAATTTCTTTACTTCAGCTCTGTGAGTGGAAAGTCTGGCAAAAAGAAATCGCTTTTTTTGAGCAGGAAAGGTCAAGCCAAATCAGCTCTGCCAGATGGGGACATAGAGAAGAAAGGGGCCATCAAACCTACAGATGAGTGTAAGTGTAAGTAAATACTTATAAAAAGAAATCAGGGAAGACAACTGTTATCTGGCTGTGGAAACTTATATATTATGATATGGGAGACAACTGTGACCAAGGTTGAAAATGGGAAATACAAAGCACAAGGTATGTCTTAGCCTGCAATGAGAAAATACCAGACATTATATATCACATACAAGCCTTATTTAATCTGAAGAAAAGAGACAAATGAAAATGTATGTGCAAAATAATATATAGAAACTTAACTAATGGGTTATTTTTCTTCATAAGTTTCTTTATATATTGCTTTAACATTTTTGCTTGTATCTTTTTGTTAATTGAATAAGGCTTGCAGTTGATAACTGTGGTCATTGTATATTGTGCTGACTACACCTGCACAACTATTCACCAATAACTGTCACATTTTGACAGACATATTCAAGGTGTATTGTGCTGACCACACCTATACAACTATTCGCCTACCGATCAACTCAACTGTTGGGGACATTGTACTGAGTGCACGGGACAAACTTTGCTTAGGACATGATCCAGTACTCTGTGAAGTCAAGTCAAATGGAGGTGAGCTTTGACTTGAGAACTTGGTCTTCTTCTCTGCTGCAACTCTTTGTTGCATGTGCTACCATTAACTATTTCTTGCAAACTTGATGGGTGGTCTGACTTTAATTGGTGTATATAAATAATATAATGCCTCCTATTCACTCAGTGCATTTCTGGAATCTTCTAACTTTGAATGTTCCCCCATCAAAGTGCTGTAAAAGAAAATCAAAATTTAACCCACCATGTTTTGAACAGTTAACTCTAATGATTTAAATACCTCCCCCGCCCCCCAAAAAAAATTACATAAAGCGTATTTTCTTCTTCTATATTTTGAGGGCCCACTATCAATGTTTTTGAAAGTGCTCGGAATATTTAAATACAATAAAGAACATAAGAAAGTAGTCATAATTAATTTTCCTATGCAACCATAGCTGCTGTCCTGTTGACACTTCATATTCCGCCTTGTTGTTTATTCCCACCCGCAAACCACAGAGCGTGTTTTATTCAGAGAGAAAGACAGATGTATTATGATGTCTCTCAGTCTGAATGGCAGGCTATTTATAGCTCCAAGAGAACATTTGGATGCACTGGTAAGACTTAAATGATTGATTATAATGTCATGGATCAGCAATCAGCATGAATTTTTGCTTAGCAAAAAAAAATTAAAAATCATGCCAATTGCTCACCCATATATATAAATAAGGTCTTGGGTGACCTATGATATTGTAAGTACCTAATGAAATGTGTGAGTAACCAGGACCGATTTTTGTTTAGCTAGACATAGGTGAGGAATCAGCATGGATTTTCGCTTAGCTAGACCCATCATTTGAAACCACCTATTATCTTATTTTCAATACAAATTTAATATTGACCATATCCCTCAATGATGTTTGTTTGACCCGCAGACCCCAGTTCCAGAACAAGAGGGACCTAACTCCAGCACAATGCATGTCATTGAAGTCATGAGTACTAAAGAACTAGCCACTCAAATAACCCACTATGACTGGGAGCTGTTTATGGCTGTTCATGAGGTCAGTTCCAAATTTTACTCTGATGCCAGCAGTTTTCAATCATTCGTGCCATGATGTGCTGGTGTGTTGCCAAAGTTCATAGGTGTACTGCAAGTCTTTTATATAAATGACTAAAAAAAGAAGAAAGGATGCTAATTACCATCAGATTGTTTTGATAGCAATTTTGAAAGAGTCCCGTCATTTCTTTCCAATTTGAGGGTTTTATCTTAGCATTTTTATTATTTTCTTGTTTAAAATCATTTATTAAAGCAAGAAATGCTGAACAAGGTCTTCGGCCCTACAGTCTTTCAGGAAGGAGTAGCAGCTAATTTGGAACAGTTCCTTCGACGATTTGATCAGGTAAAAATTTCACAAGCATCTATCATTAGGGAACTTTTAAAAATGCCATTTTTACCTATTAACTTAACCAGTGCATCATATTTGTTTTTAACTGTCCTATGCAAGTTGTCCTATCTTAATTCTTATGTTACACTGCTTAGGCAGATGGGAAGGTCCCCACACAAGTAGTTTACGCAGGCTTGGGCAGGTTTGGGTGGGTTAATTTAAGCTCTTGTTGACGGGATCAATCCTGAGATGGGTATTCTTGGTGATAGAGATGTAGTGAGACTCGAGTTAGTTTTCCAGAGAGAGTGCACTCTGTTTAGTTTACAGGAAGGTGAAGCTGAAAGCTACCTAAGCTAACTTGCAAATTTTTTTTTTTTAAATTTCAAACCACCTTCTGTTACAGCTGCAGTACTGGGTGGTGACAGAAATGGTTCTGTTGAACAATGTAGGGAAAAGAGTGCAACTGCTGCGAAAGTTCATCAAGCTTGCTCAACAGTAAGATTCTCTTAGTGTCACATCAGCTATTTAAAATTACTCTCTACGTCTAAAGGAAATAAATGCAAATTTATGCAAAGTTTCAAGAAAGAACATTGTTTGATCAGGAAGGATTTAATTTATAAATATAAATTAATCAATTTTTTTGGTGTTAATTTCAGTTGTAAGGAGCTGAACAATTTCCACGCCTTTTTTGCCATCACAATGGGCTTAGGTCACCTGGCAGTGAGCCGCCTTTCACAGACATGGGAGGTAAGAGTCATCTTTCATAAACACAGGAGATAAAATGTATTTCACAAATATGGGAGGTAAGCTTTCTTTCAAAAACATGGGAAGTACCTGGTAAGTAGTTTCATAATTGTACCTGTAGTGAAAACTAAATTTAATACGGTACCCGGTAATCGTTTTGGTTTGGAAATTAAAATTTTTGCCAAAAAAATACCAGATTAGGTTACTGGCTGAATAGCACTATTGGTAAGTCAGAAATAATGCTTAATCTCTCCAACCCTGAATTTTATCCAACAAATTGATAGTCACATATCTCAGTTTGTAAACCATTTGCAGCATCTTCAAAGCTTGTGCCCCCCTTATTTTGGTTGTTATTTCCAAGTTTATTTTTTTTGTGGCTTAGATGGAGTCCAGGGTTTATTGGATTTAGCTAGTTACTGCTGTTGGGCTTAACTTCAAATTAATTGATTAAAAAGCAATTTAATAAAATTATAAAATTGTGCACAAAAAATGTCATTGTTACTGTTAAATGGTAATAAAGGGGAGCAACTTCAATCAGGTAAGGTGCTGGAAAAAGAGACACAACAAAAGGATGGCACGTTCATTCTTTTGTTTCATCCTTTTTTCTAGTTTTTCCCCATACTTTGTTTAATTCTTTTCCATTGTTATTGTTACGGTATATTTTATTTTTCCTAATTATGATCTACATAGAATGTACTTTTTTTGGTTTCTGTTACGTTATCCTAGAAACTTCCTGGAAAAGTAAAGAAGATGTTTTCAGAGTTTGAAACTGTGATGGAGCCAGTGAGAAATCATCGTTCCTACAGATTGGCAGTCAGCAAACTGACTAGTCCAATTATACCATTCATGCCACTTCTTATCAAAGGTTTGTAGCAAAGCTTTGGTTATTTCATTAAAGCAAAATATTGTAAAAGGTTTCCTCAGAGCTCTCAGCCACAATAGTTCCTAGAAGTTTTAAATTCTAAAGTGGTACTGAGCACTCCAAGCCCCTTCGTTTAATATCACATCACAAAAACTAGCTAGTGACGGGGATGAAATGGTTGCCTAAGAGACTCGCTCTCAACTTTGGTTACAATTTCATCATCGATAAAACCTTTGTTATCTACTATCCTTTAGCAGCAGCTGTAATCATGTGCCCTAAAACCAGCTCCTGACATCATCTTTTGCTAGTTTTTTTGCCAGATTACACATGTGGTGATCCAGATTTAGGCAGGTTTCCTAGGTCAACTCCTATACCACCTCAGCCACAGGCTGCCATCATGGGCTAACTGTAACCGGAGCAGGGGGAACTACTAAATTGTTCAGCCTTTAGTTTCTCATTGTTTTCTCTATTTTCAATGAAGTTTCTAACTCATCTTCATATTTACTTTGTCTCTAGACATGACTTTCACAAACGAAGGGAACAAAACTTACTATGATAACATGGTGAACTTTGAAAAAATGGTTAGTATTGATAGAAGATTAACTTTTTTTACATTTAAAAAAAATGTAATATATTTAAAAATATTTTGAGCTGAATAGAATAGTGGGCTCTTCAAACAAGAATGTGAAATTAATTCGATTAAAGCATTAAGTCTTAATAAGCAAATTTTTAGTTCCTTTAATGGTTTTTTTTGGTGTTTTTTTTGTTTATATTAAAGTTACACGAAAGCAAGTCTTGTTTCTTGCACACTTCCACCCTTGATTTTGGCATAATTTTTTTTTGTTTTAAAAATAATTCAATGACAATTGCAACCAATGGAAAAACACAACACTATGAATCATATAATCAATACACATTACATAATGAAAACTAGGACCCATCAAAAAATATTGTGTACTGTTGTTGTGCCTTGGAGAGATCAAAAGTTTGGACTTCTCTGAATACTCTGACCTAAGCTTAAATGACAAAACGTAGTTGCGGTACTTGCAATTTTTTTTCTGAAGGATTAACAGTTCTCAAGCAATCTAGTTATTTATCCGCAATCTGGGTATATATATGTATCATATAAAATTAGATAAGATAACATTCATTTAATTGTTCCCTTTACAAAACTACAAGAGTAGATTTGATTTCTTTGTCTGAATTAAATTTGGATTCCTGCATTCCAAGCTGTCCACTTATAATGTAAAATACAGTGGGAGAATTCATTTGATGACAGAGATTTTATTTTATCTGTTTCTTTTCTCTCATGCAGCATATGATTGCTCAAACTTTGCGAACAGTCAGATTTTGTCGCCGTAATCACTTGGGTGAGTTACTTCATATAATAATATGGCATAAAATTAATTTTAAAATTTGGCTGTAAAACTGGGAAGTCTTAACACAATTATTTGTCTCTGGCAAAGCAGCCCCAATTGAAATTGACTAATGGGACATTATTGCATTGAGTCTTTATGTTCATGGGCTTCATTGCCCATGATTTAATGTTCTAATAGGATTAAGTTAATATTTTCTGAGCCCTGGCCTGTCAACTTTTTTTTTTTTTGATATGATAAATGAAATGAAAATTTCAGAACCAGAATCACCAGAGACAATGAAAGCATCATCAGAGATCAGGTCATATGTCAGGTGAGACTTGATCTTTTTGACACTCTAATCATAGGCCTATACATTATTTTTATCTCTTGGGCTTAGTAAGAGGAAACAAAATCTCTGCGTGATTCTCTTGAGATTATTAATGCTATTAAAAGATTTTTATCTACTTGATACCGTCTGTTTCAAATTCTTCAGTTATAAAAAAAAAAAAAAATCCCTTCATATTATGAAGCTAAAAATGTAAACACTCCTCAGTCTTGTGAGACATGTTAATCTTCCCAAAATTTTATGGATCCAGAAATGATTCTCAAATACAATTTCTAATGCAGAAGTACCGGTACAAATTCAAAGTAGATTTAAATTTGATATGTTATACACATGCATATGTTTTTAAAAAAATTTGACTTCAAATTTATACCATTCACATTGCTTTGAAGTTATGTTAGCAATGACAATATACGTTGTTAATTTTATGCCCAGAAATCTTCAAGTCATAGATAACCAGAGGATACTGACCAACCTGTCACACAAGTGTGAGCCAAGGAAAGGATAAGACATAACACATTGGTGACATGAGACAGGATACCTAGATTGTAAAGAGCCTTTTGACTCATGCCTCAAATAGGGGGGGGGTCGCGACAGAAGCATCCAAAAGCTTTCCCAGGGTGCTTCGTGATACACCTCTCTCATTTAAATTAGCAACGAAATCAGGCATCTCCAAAGACATGTTCCACTTTCAATTTATGTTTGCTTTAGTATGGTGCATCTTCTATCTAGCATGTGTTTGTCAAAGGTGCCAAAAAAAAATTTTTTTTTGGGATCATTGTTGGTTATTTTTGGCTGTTAAGTTAATTTTATAGTTTTATTACCAATTATTCACTTTTGGGTGCATTTATCCTTAATTTGTTAAAGTTAATTAATTTTTTGCAGCTAGAAACATATTTTACAAATTTAATAAATCAACTGAAAAACTGATTTACTTCCCTTTGTTGTTCAGGAAAATTGATATGTACCGTACAAAAGTATCACAGCCATAGGGACTGAATTTAATTTTGATCTGGGGAAAGTGCAATAAGAATTAATTATACACAGACGGTCTATGTATCACTAGTGGTTGGTCAATATTTTTGTGTAAAGCTTGTGAATTTAGACTTGGTAAAAAATATTTTCAAACATCTCAGTGGCATTTTATAAACATGCAAGAACATTTTTAAGTGGACAACTGAAAAATGGTGTTCTTAAATTTAATTCAAGAGGTATCTTATTTAGAAAAATTATCATTTTTAATATATATGAAGGAGTTTTCAGAGATGTGTGCTATGCAACTCTCTGTGTAAAAAAAGTAACAGTGATAAACTGTTAGTGAATTTTTAAATCCTTTATATTAAATTTGCTATTGTTTGTGGCTGGCTGGCAAAATGTTCAAACGGCTAATTCCTGTCGACCTACTGAGCTGAAACTTGACACTTAGACTCGTTGCCAATGACAACACATTCTGTCAGACTTTCAACCCCAAAAAAAAGTTTTTCCTGATTTTCTAGGGGAATATAAAATGAAATTCCTGATAACTGCGCTAAATAAGATTCTTTTAAAAAAATTAGTTTTGGTGTAATATTAATTTTTGTATTTCTAAAATAAATCTGCTGCATAAAAGGGGTTGCTGGGGGGGGGGGGAATAATTGGGATTCTTATAAAATGTGTTACTCGCATGCATGTGATGTCAAATTTTTCCCCCTCCCCATTACTTACTCGCTATTACATTTAATAAAGGATTTATACGAAAAACTTTGTTTTTAGGGGTTGTTTCATTTGTTTATACAATACATTTTTTAATATCCATTCGCATTTGATACCACTATTTATGTGTTCTTTTTCCATTCCAATTTTTTCAACCACTGACCACTTACCATTCAATCATTGAATCATTGTCACAGTCCATTCTAAACATAATTTAACATAAATTGTAAGCCTTTCAATGATATAGCTGATTGGAATACAAAAGATTCAAAATGACTAATCAATTGTTGAGATAAAACTACCTAAGTGGCAACATGGTATTTCCACAATGCATATTTTAATAGATTATTATAACTGTGTGTGTATATATATAATATAATTTAACATAATATAAACATAAGGGTGTGTAGTGCCAAGTAAGGCACTTCTGAGAATGTAACTTAACACATAGTAGAAAAAAAACTCAAACCACTTAAGAAACAAGACAGCAGCCAGCTTGATGTGGTGCTAAAAATTAGTGAGGAAACTTGCCACTTGCAAGAAAATAATCCAGAGTGTAAAAAAAAAAGTATAAACAATTTTGTGAATTTTTTTTTTCATTTCTAAATAAGTAATGATAAATATTGTCTTTGGTGTGTTCTAGGTATTATTTTTTATGCTTAATTTTGGGGGAAAGTATTAATCTCAGTTTGCAATTGATGTTTGGTGTTTTATTATGTCAAACCTGCTTGTTGTGAAACATCTTTTTTTTTTCTCCCTTTCTACTGCGGACCCAATGAGGTGAATCAATCTGGCTATTTTTTTAAATTTCATGCCAAGCTAAAACACACCCCTATCAACTTATATGAACAAATGAAGAAAAGAATTATATGTATTTAATTTTTTTATATTCATATTATTTATTCAAACTGCAAGTTTTTGGGGAAGAAACTAAAAGAAATCTGGCCAAAAGTTTTCATTTTCTTTCTTTATTTTTTTACATTGCAGGTTCTTTTCAAGTCTGTAACAATAAATGATGTGAAAATACATCCAATTCATAGTACCTATTTGAACTATCAGTATACCAAAGGAAACAAATAAAAGATCATAATAGATTAAGATTCTTTTAAACACAAACATTTAATATATATTACATGTATTATAGTGTCTGGATCTGTTATTTGGGGACAGTGTTTTTTTTTTTTTAAAACATCACTCAAGTCAATGATGTTATATTTTTAAATGTTTTATATAAAACAAAAAATTAATTACTATTAATATTTGGTAAGGGATTGGCAGAGCATGTATTTTTACAAAATTGTCTTGTTTTTGCATGTAATACTTTCATAATAATAGACATGGATATTGTAGAAAGAATCTGATTGATATGGGTTTTCTATGTGGCTGATGTCTTCATGCTCTCTTCTGTAACTATCATTGACATTGAGGTTTTTTTTTTCAACATGCATCCATATGTGTTGATGTTACAGAAAATAAATATATTTATCCTGAAATAAAAGTGTTATGTTAAGTGCAACATTGTCGAGTGTATGATGAGCCTCACATGAACTTGGGTTAAAACAAATGTTCAACTTTATTATAAATTTAAGATAAATTTTAACTGAAAAATGTTTCACTTAAATTAGTTAATTTATGAATGCTATTCCTGTACTTAAGTGTTGAACAGCATTGAAAATTTATACTGTAAAACATTCCTTCAGTGTCTTGAATTTTTTTCTGATATAGTCTGTATTTTAAGACTATAAATTATTTTTTTTCCTTTGCGTATAAAACATTTTGCAGATTACCCCCTCACCACACACTCTTATTTTTAAAGGATTCATGCCGTTTCTACCACCAGGGAATGCCTAGTCCCTCTCACCCAACCCTCCCAGAAAAAAACCAGGGTAACACTAGGTTCCAGTATAAAAAAAAAAAAAGATTTAGCAATTTTTTTTCAAATGCATTGAGTCTATATAATAAGTTTCTTAAAAAATCAACACAAGGGCTCCGATTTTTTTAAAATAGTGGAAGAAGAAAAATCACTTATTTAATCTATCAAAAATGGCCACAGTCGGCAAAGGTTGTTTTTTTTTTTACATTTCTTTTTTATCCATGGGGTGGGGGAAATTAATTCTACTAATAAAAAGTGCTGTGAAATCCAGTGTTGTTGATTTCGGTGTGTATAATCTAGACTAAAAGCTGTTTTTGGTTAGGTCTGGATGTCACAAAATTCAATCTCATTCTTATTATATGTAAAACTAGATGGTTTTATCAAATTCATTTAGTTTTAGAGCAACTTTAATACAAACCTGAACCAGATGAGATTCAGCATATTTTTTTGTACAAGGTCATTTTTTAAAAAATGATTTCAGTAACATTAACAATACATGCATTGAAAAAAGTCAACGCCCAAATATTACAATTTAATTATTTATTTACTTTTTTTTAGCCATGTATACTTGAATAATAAACCCATTTTTTTCTATTTTTGGGGACCATCCATAAATGATGTCATCAATATAGGGGGAGGGAGGTCATCAATCTGTGGGGGGGGGGGGGGAACGAATTTGTGACGCGGTGTTTTGAGGGNGTGTACTCTTTCTTACTCTTATTAAGTTATTTACAACATTTTTGGAGTGTACAAATAAATAAATCGCAAAATTATATTATAATCCTCATTTTTTTTTTTTTTTTGCGAGCCAAACCCAATAATAATAAAGTGAAAGTACTGAACTGAAAGTCGAGTGTCGTAGCTTTAACTTTAACGGATACTAAAGTGTGATACTACTAAAATTAAAAAAACTAAAATCATTTCATTGAAAAATTGAAGGGGACAATATTAACTGCCTTTAAATTTGTCAGGCCTTCAAAGTACAATTTATTATTATTTATTTTTTATTTTATTTACTCAGTCATAAATGGCGATTCCTTCCGAATCCCAAGTAAAAGTTAGTCCTAATGCTAAAAATAGTGAAAGCAATTTTTTAAACTGCTGATGCATATAGCAAGCCACATTACTCCAATATGTTGAACGCAGTTGACGGTTAAAATGTTACATCTACACTACATAACAATAAAAGAACTGTAACTTGTAGTTGTATATAATTAAATCAAAAGAATTAATTATGAAACGCGTGATGAAGCATTCCGGGGCATTAGGTAAATACAATTAAAAATCATTTATTAGTAAAGTATAATTGTCTTATTTCCGTAGCCTTTAGACTTAAGAATCGATGTTTTGGTACGATAACTTTCCGACCGGTTTTACTCGAAGGACTGGATAAACAAAATAATAAAATCAAGAGTGGCTTATGGAAAATTCGCCCTTTTCAAATGATAATTAAAATTAATTTAAACCAATTTTTAGTTCAGCGATAAACTTATCTTTAAAAAGAAAAAAAAAAGATAATAGTTTTATTGTACAGACATATTATAGATTAGTTGGTCTACTCTATTAATTATAAAGTATTAAATAAAAATTAAGATGTGAAAAATAGTGAAGTCCTTCCTGCTGACCTTGCTAAATAATAATTGCTTAACTTACATTTTTTACACAATAGAATTTGAATATGATATAATCTACCTATGACCTATGCCTATGGTATTAATTATATAAAGCTAATTAATATAGGTCCAACTACTACACTACTAGGGGCCAGAATTTTAGCAATTTTTTTATCGAAGTGTATAGACAGTATAGTATACACGTCCGGCGAGCCAGACAAATAGTGTGCACAAATAGTGTGCGTGATACACGTCCGGCGAACCAGACAAATAGTGTGCGTGATATACGTCCGGCGGGCATGTTACAGTTACGTGACCACCGGACGACTAGTATTCCTTATTATTCCGAACGAAGTATCCACTGGAAGATCTTGTGTGGTCTTGTGGTAGAGCGGTCACTTGACGATATTTTGTTAATGGATCAATGCCCAGTGTGAGATTGTTTTTTTTTCCCATTTTAATTAAAAATATTTTATATTATATTTATATCATCATGTTCATCAGCAACAGTAGTTTCATGAGAAGTTTTTAACTATTTTGTAGCAATTTAAACAATTTAAAATGAATTCCTTTACCTTTATTGGTTGCCTACTCCATACTGGCCCCTAATTTATTTTATGGATTACTGGTACACAAACTCAAATAACAAACTAAACAAAAACGTTTACAAGCCACTTTCAATTAAGTTTTTTTTCTATGATTTGCATTGAAGATACTCAGTACATTACTTGGTAGAGAAATAGATTTTAAAATTAACAATAGTTTTGAATCATTCGCGGTCACGTGACAAGGCTGACGGACAAGATATCTCTCGCCACTTCGTTTCGGCGGTTATGTGACTTGGTCGCCGGACAAATAGTGCGGGAGATATACGTCCGGTGCGCCGGACGTGTAGGTGCGCCGGACGTGTAGACACTGCCTTTTTTTATCCCCTCCCCACTCTTGCAAAAATCTAAAAACTTTGAAGGACCTCCCTAATTAATTATGTCTTAGTAGGTTAACTGTTTAACCCCTCCGCCCCTCCCCCAAAAGAAAGTAAAAGTAAATAAATACTGATCTTTTTAAATGCTTAAAATATACCAATAGGCGGGGAACAAATGTTTAATTTTTAAACGTTTTTAACAAATGTTTTTTTTTTAATAAGTAAAATCTATACTATACTTAGAGACAAGGCTGATGAGGATAAGGTCTCAGACTAATATTATCAATAGTAAATTTTTACTTTTATCATTTAAAATTAAAATTGATTAGCCAAATGTTCCTCTTCTGCAATAATGCATAGCAAGTGTTAGTTTAAACTATCATAATCATTGCAATATTATTATTATAGAACTCGCTAATGTTATCCTTGCTTAGTTAAACTATTCCAGTATTCCTGGCTTAAAATACCAATACTTTCTCTTTGTGCAATAGGGATTAATTAGAGTTCTATCTATATAAAATTTAACACAACAAATAGTTAGTGTAGTCTGTAGTGTGTAGATTGGTTGCAAACTTGCCTACCACATGCAGGCTGATACATTTGAGATCTAGTTTGATTCCTGTTCAGGCCCAGTCAGTAAAATGCAAAGTTTTATATCCTCTTTTATTTTACTCTAGATGTTTAAGTATAATAAAAAGTGATAGTAATTAAAGAAAGCCACCATCATCTTAAATTAATGAGTTTTAAAAAATAAAAAGGTAAGAAAAATCTATCAATTTTATTTTTTTTAAATGCACTGTCTTAGCTCTTAGTGGAGGAACATTTGCATATTGGTACCATCGAAAATATAACAACTTGACCTTGTTGGCTGAATCCCCAAAGTGTGAAGATGATATTGTCTACAGTGATTCCGATGAATCAACAAAGGGAAGAGCTAGCGTTCCTTTGGACTGTGCACCAGACGGCACATTGTTTTTGCAACTGAAACAAGTCCAAGTAATGTTTCGCCATGGGGCTCGAACTCCATTACACACAGTTCCAAAAATTGAGGAGGTAAAAATTTCCTATAATCAGTTATGAAATCTAAAATAATACAATTATATCTTGTTAAAGCTGTTATTTTCATGAAATATTGAAAAGAACAAAATATTTTTAACCTGTTAGATTGATGAAAGGGAAAAAAAGACACCTTGAGTTTGTCCTGTAATTTTGTATCATTTATCAACTGCAGTTGAATGTAACCCTTTTTATGTGGTTTATTTTAAATCAGGCAGAGTATGACCCACAATTTCTGATCAGAGAGCATCAGCATACCAATGTTCCATATGTAAGGGTGTCTAGTGTCACAGGAAAGCAATTGGAGTGGTCTGATTATGAACTTAAGCTGATGAATAAAAAGCTCAGGGTAATAAATTTTACTTTATTCTTTGAAAGTGTTTCTTATCTGGATAAGTCTTTCTGATTCTCAAAAAATTATAGATTGATTGGTATTTAAGAGTTACCATGGTTTTTGTTAAATTTTTCTAAAAAAGGTAGAAAGGAAGTTAAGCCTATTAAAAATAATATTTTTTAAAATTTAATAATAAATTTGCTGAATACAACCCAACTTTGCTTTCTTATTTATTTCTGGATTACTTTCAAAATCCAAACAAGTGTCTTTGTGATTTTTACATTGTAAAATAGAGATGATTGTATCACCATTAAGTCAATTTCTACAATTGGTTTGGATTTTGTTCCATCATTGAGAAAAATCTCTCACAGTCTGCATTGCTGTGAGGCAATGTCAGCAATCGTTTTCTGTTTGAGAGATTCAGATACCTCAGCTTGCCACAGCTTGTTTTCAGGCGCAACACACCAAGCCAATCTTTGGTGAACATCTGTAGTTGGAAGGCTTGGTATGAAACAGTAATCATCATACTCATCCTTCTTAATTTGTAGGCCAGCATCAAAGACCAATGTGTTTGCTAACCTGCTTATGGCTGTATTGGTGTTGTGTCATTGGATCTAGCACTTGCATAGTCTTTAGTACTCTGTTATCAAATGGAAACTTTTAACCATCATACCCACTGTTGCTGAATAAAATTGTCTGATCTTTTTAATAAGAACAGTTGTTTTATCTGGATGCATATCTGATCTTTCTATAACTATAAGAGTTCTTTTGGAGATGCCAATGTTAAGTTAATTGTCATCATGCTGCAGATCACGATCCAGAGTAATTCAATAGCCCCAAATCTTGAACCTCATTTATATGCTTCATCTCCACTAATTTTACACTCCACAAAGGCATAATTGTCTAATGCTATTCGTTGTTAGGGATATTGCATTTATTTAATTATTTTGTGGCAATTGAAAATAAAAACCACTTACTGACACTGCAGGTCTAGCTAGGTATAACACAAAATGGATTTGTAATTATTGATTACTGCACTAAGTTGTTACTGCTGTGCAACACTGTCTATTTAAGAATGATATCCATGTTCAATATTGTATCATGAAGATACTGTAAAATGAATGGCAAATCTCACTAAGATTCTATATTTAGATGGCTGACCCATTCCCAAATTTTGGGACAAATGTCAATCTGATGGCCCAATAGGATTTAAGATTCCTTCTCTATTGATCTCGACGTTATTAAGTGTAGTTTGAATTTTAAAATATTTTTTGGCGAGTGCAAATTATTTTTTTTTCTAAATCCAGTTAAAACTGTATAAAGTCCTTTACGATCCTAAAATGGGAACATATTTAAAACCTGCACAAAGGGATGGTATGAATGGATAAGGGCATCAAGACTAGGAGAGAGAAGGCAGAAGGGTAAAGAAACATTTATAAAAAAATACAGGAAGACTTATTTTAGTCTGTTCTTTTGTTTTACAAATGTATTTACACAGGAGCAGTTGATATTAGCTTACATTGTTTTATGATTTTGTATACAGGGTGGGGCATGTTGTGGTGCCCTTACAAGTTATGGCAAAGATCAGGTGTATCTTTTGGGGAAAGATCTAAGGACGTGCTACAAAGAAAGACTGAGTTTAACTGATTACAGTCCTTGTGAAGTCAGGTAGGATTGAAGGCATTCAATATTGAAGCATTTCAAATATTTCAATAATGCAAAATTATTCAGGAAAAATTTAAATAATAGATTATGCAAAGCTGTTTCTTAACAATTGAAGGCATAAATGCTAAAAATACCAATGTCACAAATACACAATTTGAGATAATCAATTTCAAATATTCTTTTCGTCTATAAAATGTGATCATTTTCATATTTTGTCTTGTTTAATTGTTCAAATTTCTGTAGCACACAGGCACATTTTAATGTGTTCAAATTTCTATATTGCACTTGGCTAAACCGGATAAGAAAAGGTCACAGTTTATATTGATTTTGAAAAAATGTGACTAACATACTTTTAGGGTCTTCAGCTATTCATTTGACACTGTTGCTTGGAATTTTTAAGTTAAAATTAAAAGACATGAATATTTACTTTTAGACTCTTTTTTTTTTTTATTCAGTAAAGGAAATTTTGAGCAATGATCTATTGTCTCAAGCTAATATCAACCACAAAAACATCAAGAACTAACAATGTGGTTGAGTAACTTAAGTAACAACATTCTAAAAGTATTGTTAATCTAATATTTTCCAAATTTATTATAATTTTGAACTCAAATTATGTGCTCAAATCCATTTATTTCAGTGTCATATCCAGTAATATAATGAGAACAGTTGAATCTGCCCGATGTGTTCTGGCAGGCCTGTTTGGCAAGGAGAATCTACTCGAATACGGTAATGGAGAAAGAAAAAAAAATTTATATCTTACACTTTTATAGATAAAAGTATACGTTTTTAAATAAATTAGAAGAATTATTTTGATTAGAAGATTTGCTAAACAAAATAGGGAAAAATCCAGGTTCGACTGTCATTAATTTTTTTAAATTATCATTAACTAGACCTTAAAATCATAATTTTCTGGCAAAACTGCTGTGATAATCTTTTTTTTTTTTTTTTTTTTTTTTTTTTTTTTTTTTTTTTTTATTTTTTTTTTTTATTTTTTTAATTTTTTTTTTTTTTTTTTTTTTTTTTTTTTTTTTTTCTGTTTTTTTTTTCAAATTGCTTTTCTGAATGTTTAAAATATTTTGTTAATTTCTGTTTTTTTTACTTTCAGTTGCACGTGCCAAACTCCCCATTAAAGTTTCTGTGGCCAGTGATGACTACAACTTTCTGATTCCGGACACCAACAACTGTGCTGTTCTGAAAAAGATGAATCACTCTGCAATGTTGCATTCGGATTTTATACCAAATATGAAGAGAGACAGGATTGAAGTGGAGGATCGTATCAGTGAGTGCAAAGAGGAAAAAAAATATTCGAATTATTTGGGGTAAAGTTTAAACACTTTCCAAATTTAATGTATTAAAAACTAAATGCCTCCTGATATTTATCTATAACAACTATATCAGTTACTATTATCTTCTGTCTTAACAATCGGTTGAGGCTTTTTCAGTTGTTGGTTATGTTTATAAAACTGTCTTGCTCACATTCATCTCTTTGAGGCATAACTTGCCTCTTGCTGTCATCGATTAACAGATGCGCCTCGTGATGAACTTTTGGAACATGTTAAGGAGGAGCAGCACCTGATTGATCAGCAGTTGGCTATTTACCAGGTCACTGGTAGACAACACATTGTACCCATGTTGAATGATTTTAGGGAAATGTATCAATATGACCCTGTCTTGAACCCATTGTACCAGAAAAGAAATGAGAGCATTGAGAAAATAGACAGGTTTTGGTCATCTGTTGTATCCTTTCAAAAATGATCACGTGTTATAAAATACTGGGCCGTCAGTTTTATCAGGAATAATAGGAATATCCAGGAGAAGGCTTATTTTCTTTCCCCCATGGTGTCATTAAAGCATCACTCATTATCAGTTGAGCATGCAAAATTCTCATTTCTTTTACAGCAATGGTTCCTAAACAGTGGGGCATGACTCCCTAGGGGGGTCTCTGAAAGCTTAGTCATTATCATTATATGTACCAATGTTAACCATATCATATTTATTAAAGTGAACATTTTTGTTCCACATATATTTCTACATAATTTAGTGGATATTGACCCAAATTGTCACAAAAACCCTTCATTAGCCAGAATGAAAAATAAAAAGGAGGGTTTTTTAATTTTTCAAAATCTCCAATTCGGTGCCATGGGCCAAAAATTCTTAGTTTCCTTATATGAGCTATAAGTACAAAGGCTTCTGCATAAATGATAAATGGATTGATCTAGACCAAACTTAGTACACATACATTTGATTATTCCTATTTAAATACTTGTGGGTTCTGAACTCATAATATTTACTCCTTTGAGGCTGGGGTGCCTAAATTCATTTTTCCTTAAATTATATAAGCTATGTAAATAATAGTGGGCTTAGTTAATTTATAGACTTCTACATGAAATGATCAATCTAGGACAAACTGGGCAGTGATACCCTCATAATCCATAAGTAATTATTGGTCAATTAAACCTAATAATATCCACTAATTTTGGCCACAAAGGCTAGATCACTGTCATTTGTAACCAATTTTAATGGTACAACTTTTAAATTTTTTGCTCCATAATTTATATGAATGATTTTTATGGAACCCCACAGCTTAGGCAGGCATTACTAAAACGGCACTTGAAGGATAGGCCTTCTCGGGCCCCTCTTCAACTTTAGTGAAAAACGGTAAACAAATAAAGTTTTTTAATTATCCAAATTAAAATACCCATAAGTCTGGATTTTTAAATATCTGCGCCCTTGGGGGCTGTAATAAATTCCACAGGGAATATTTTTGGCAAAAAAAAATTATCATATAAATAGCTTTTTTAATGAAGAAAATTTTGATTAGTTTTTTAGCAACCTGTGTTTTTCTTACAGGACCCATAATTTCAATGTTAGCCTTTTCTGAATGCAATCCCAGGCAATGTCGGGTATTTGGTTAGGTTTTAATAAATCGTATGTGCACATATTGAAGCAGGATGACCAGAATTTAATCTAGAAAAGCCATCAAGAGAAATAGATCATTCATGCATGTGACACCAAGTGTTTCATCTGGGAACTCAACTCTTAGTATTAAGTGGTTTGATTTTGTTAAAACCAGCAGCTCTGCCATTGCCCAATGTAACTAATATCTGTAATGTCTTAAAGTGTTTTGTCCTTGACGCATGACTAGATGAGGCGCCATCCCGCACTAGGTGAGAGTTTGACACAAGATGACCTCAAAGCCCTAGTTTACCTACGAAAGTTTGAAGTGGAGGAGTTTCAAGGGAAATTTGCCTCTGGTTACAGATTCCATTTTGTCAGTTTATTTCCAAATCCCAATCCCTTAATGTTAGTTTGTTGTGTTTATGTGGTATTTACATGTATGTTACGATCATTGTCATGGTAGATGTAATTCATATGTTAGGATCATTGTCAGAGTGAATGATGTAATACATGAATGCTGTGACCATTGTCAGGGTAGATGTAATACATGTGCTATGATGATTGTCAGGGTAGATGTAATACAAATGTTTTGATCATTGTCAGGCTAGATGTAATATATGCATGTTATGATCTTTGTCAGGGTAAATGTAATATATGTATGTTATGATCTTTGTCAGGGTAGAAGTTCTGTCCCCTTGCTCTTGAGTGAGCCCTTTTCACCCATCATATACACAGGAGATTACTTTGCTAATTGGATAGCAAATGGGCGTTATTTAAGATAAAGATTTTCAATGCATCAGTTGCAAAAATTATTGTTATAATACATCAGGTGTAAAAAAATATCGCCAGCAATAATTTGATGTTTATTTAAATTTTTTAACTTATTTACTTTTACTTTTTTCCCCCAGCATTTTGATGCCAATCCCTATTTTCACAATAAACATCTGTGTAAAGTGGTCTACACTAAAATACACGCCAAGGCCAAACCATCAAATCGTATTCCCATCATGTGGAAGGGATCAGAGGTAAGAGTTCATCTACTTAAAATATAACATTTCTATGAATTGGTTTCAAACTAATTTATGGGCTGGTAATCAATAATTATTTCTGTAGTTTGTCAGACTTAATATGAAATTTCCCAGAACTCTAACAAAAATCATGTGCATTTAATTTCTTTGTTTAAAAGAACCCCCCAAGAAATATTTATTTACAAAACAGTTTTACTTTTGAAAAAAATCAGAGATTAAAAAGAAAGTATGTGTTAAAACTGACTACCAAGTCAAGCAGAAATTGAAATCCCTTTGTAGTATGGAAATATTTAAAATTATGTATATCTGTGGGACCTAGAACTTGAACATAATTATCTTTTGGTCTGTTGAAAAAAAAGGACTTGTGGCTGACCCATCTTCTGGCATCTCTACTTCTCACCACAATGTTTTGTGATATTTTATAACTATTTTTAATTTAAAATTTCAGTGTCTTGTGCCTTCTGAACAAAAAAAGGAAGAAGAGAGAGTCAGTTCCCCTTGCTCTAAAAGAAATGAAGACAAAAGCGATATCAAGTAAGTTGAATTAACTAGTTGAATGTTCTGTTTACCAGTATTAACAATCCATGAGTTCATGAATTTTATTCAAGTTCTTTGTTTCTAAAACTGAAAGCATCAATTGTTTTAAATATAACTTCATATTTTCATACCTTTTTTTTGTGTTTTTTTTTTAATGGGACATTATGTTCCAAAAATTCATGACTTTTTGAAGCTGCTATATTACGTATGGGGTGAGAACTGCACTGCAATCTTTGTTTTAAGGCTTGCCAGAGGGATGTCTTTCAGGGCCGGTCTGACGGTTGCTGGCGCCCTGTGCAAACTTAACTTTGGTGCCCCTTTTAATATGTTTAATCATTAAAGGAAAAAACTAGTTATTCGGTAATGAGTTTATTTCCTATTTTTTTTTTTATTGTTTGTTAAAAAAAAAAAAAACACACAGGTAAAAAACTCATTACCGAATAAATAGATTTTTTCCTTTAGGGTTTATACTTATAAGGGGCGCCAAAGCTAAGCCTTGGGTAAACTTTCGCCCTGTACGAAGCACCCGTTCAGCGCCCTCTTCCCTGTCCCTGTATCCAAATTAAGAATGCAGCTATCATTGTATGGAAACTCATAGTATGAAAAGCGATTGTACGAAAGGTTAGAATACCGTTTCTCGAACCTGGACCCGAGGTTCACACTTCACTATAATAAACTAAGGGAATTTAAATATTTACTGGGTGGCCCAGGTGCACCTATGGCCAAGGTGCCCTGTGCGAAGGCACAGGTCGCACACCCTCAAGGTCGGCCCTGTGTTTTTTGTCAACAATTTCCCCAACTTTTTAAATTAAAAAAAAAAAAGAATGGATTTGTTAACATGATACTATAAATTATTTATCTTTATGTGGAATTCCAAAGATCTGAAACCAAAGATCCCAAACAGTGCCATAAGTTCTGTGGTGCCTACTGTCGAAAAAAGGACAAGCCCCTGCCTTCATTCTTTGAATGGTATTCACAACCGGTCTATAATGATTTAGATAGAATATGGAAAGTACTTGCGGATGTCTATGCCAATCCTGTCAAGTATCTGGAGGTTAGTCATTTACAGGATGGTCAACTTGCATGAGGTAACCATAATGCAGGCAAAATTTTATTTTTCCACTAAAAAGTAATGAATTAAATTTTTTTTTTAATTGCACCCCAAAATAAATAAATTCTTTTTACTTTTTAGCACTTAGAAATATATACACAAGATTTATTTTTTTTTAAAATCAAATTTTGATTATTTTAGTGTTCAATTTCTTTGAGTTTTGACAGTTTTTAAGTCCTATGTGAATGCAGTTCAACTTAAATGTATTTGCAGGAGCAACCAAAAATCAAGGATGCTTGGGACCATCCTTTTAACTTTGTGTTTGGAAGGGATGATGTTGTCGCCCGTGTTGTGAGTATCAAAATGTTGTGCCTCTATTTTATGACAAACACTGATGTTGCCACGAGGTCTGATTTTGATACTTTTCCTGAGGTTTGATTTTGATTCTTGTCCATGATGCCTTAATTGTTATCAAAGATGACTTAAGATAATTAAGCAAGCTGTAACATCCAGCCCTTAGGAACCCCAGCACATTGCTTCACCCAGGGCATCAGGGCTGTTGAAACAGATGTCGTTAGAATTGCACCATAGTTCTCTCCTGAATCTCCAAAATGCCTATATATAAGAATAACAATTTTTTAACACACAGCTTTCATTATTCATGAATCATAGCAGGTAAACATTTCCACCATTTATGCTTCAAACTCTCTCATCTCAGACTCAATATTTGAGGAAGCGTTCAGTTATTACATGAAATATTAACAATCAGTTTTTGTATTAAATAACAACTTTAAATTGTTAGTTCAATAATTTTCCTTCAACTTATTTCTAATATACTAATAGTAAATTATTATAAAAATGTGTTGTTCATGAAATGTTATAAAGCTTTGTTGATTTTTTGTTTGTGCACATCTGTTGGTCTTGCTTATATTTTTTATTTACATCAAGTGTATCTTATTGTATGAATAATCTGTAGTTGATACTAGAGTAGGATTTAGGTGAATCTTTATTAGGCCTGATAATTTATTATTTTTCAAACAATGAAGATGTTTTTATAATTATATAAGCCTAGTTTTTATGGTACAGTATATAGAAAGTTAATTTTTTTTATTTCCCAGACTCATGGTAATATTTATCCAGTTATACTTGAACCGTTCAAAGATCAGATAGAGGAGAATGCCACAAAACTGATGTATTATGCCATGACTGGCCAGCATGATCAACAGAGGCAGGTTGTCACCCAGTTGTCTGCTGGTCCACTCATGACAGAGGTTACATCACAGTGTGAAAAGTTCATGAAAGGAAAGTAAGTTTTTGAGTAGATCCTTTTTAACCTTGTCGGAATTGTTGTTCAGCATTCGCCAGGAATAAGACTGACCAACTGTACATGAGATAGGTGGACGGAAATTTCAAGGGAGTTTATTTCTTTTTAATATCGATTAATTATGAATAATGAATTTCAAGATAAAAAATATTATATCATTTTAATCTCTAAAAAAAATTTTCTGTTTGCATTATATTTTAGAGGCCACAAACTCTGTCTCTATTCTACGCATGATTCAACACTGACTGCTGTGCTACAAGCATTGGACATTTGGGACAACGCGTGGCCACCTTTTGCAGCTGATATACGATTTGAGCTGTATAAGGAATTAGATAGTGATGAGTGGTATGTCAGAGTTCTCTACCTCGGAAAGGTAAGCTCATACTAATGCATATGTTTTGTAGCATATATTCATCAACAAATTTAGAAGTATAAAGTTGGCAGGACCCATTATTGTTACTTGTCATTTTTTTTTTTTTCTAAAATAATCCATCTTATTTCTTTAATGGGTAATAAGATTTACTTAATTTTAAAAATTTCATAAAAATAAAAAAAAAATATAATTATATCTGTTTAAAAGTTTTTCACTCACACTTCCCCTTTTTGTCTTTAACCACTTCATTACCAATGATGTCGACACGACGTCACAGTCACCCACTTTCAATTACCAAGGACGTCACATCGTCATCGTAATAAAAATTTAAGAACTTTTCTGAAATACCAAGGACGTCACATCGACGTCAAATTTCAATGCTATATATTTCCTTATTCGTTAATCTATAGAGAAGTTAAAAAGCAAATCATATAGAGAATGAAATATACCGAAAATTTCATCTTTTAAGTTTTTTGTTGCTTAGTCAGCAAAATCGATTTCACCAAAAACAAAACAAAAAACAAAAAAAAAACGTAATGAAGTGGTTAAGGAAAGTTTTTATTTTCTTGTTTTAACAGGTAAAAAAGATTCGAAACCAGACAGAAGACTATATACACTGGAGTGAGTTTAAGAGAGCTCTCAACTGTTATGTAATCAATCAGCCCATGTACACTCGAATTTGTGCATCAAATATACTTGAGCGGATAGCTAAAGGTAATTTATTATCTTCTGGGTGGTTTTTTGTTTTATAATCATAATGATTTTTCGCCTGTCATGATGCTACTATTAGAATATTTCCAGTCAGTGCATGCTATGCACATCATTGTCTTTTTTTTCTTTTAAAATTTCTATTTAAGTTTAAGCCATGCATTTTTAAAGACTTGAACTTGAACATTAAAACTTGATGATAAACCAGGTTATGAGAAATAGATATCTTTGATAATATATCATGGTAATGCTGTTTGATTCAATATGGGAAAACAATGACAAACCTAAGAGATAAGACTGACTGCTTTTTTTTGAAATATCACATTTTTTAAATATATTATTTAATTTTCAATATGAGATGCACAATGCTGTACTTGGAGAGGCTGTAGTGTAAAAATAATTATGTTTAAAATACAAATAAGGAAGCTATAGGTCTGTCATAATCATCAATGGCACAACAGGGCGCGGGCAGGCTCCTTAACATCATACCACTCAGACTGCTCCATGACCTTTCATTTCAATCTTTAGGTCTACATAGGATTATGAATTTTTAGTGTTATGATTATTAATGGATTCATCAATTAAAATCATTGTTTTGAGAATTACCATCTCTTTTGTGTCATCTTGTCAATTGTTTTCCCTGTCATCCCACGGAACATGTTTTGGTAGCTCCTCGAACATTTTTAGAAATACCTGTCACAGGTGGGAGGGTTGACATTTTTCTTTTAGACTGATATATATATAAGTAGGTCTATCAAGGCTCCCTGTACATTTAAGCTGATCTGGCAATGATGCATTTTGGCTGTAACAGTTATTTAATGTCAGGTATCTTTTTATCACTTGATTTACTGGCCCTATCTTTTCTTTAGATATAGTAAGAGAAGAGGATGAAACAGATGATGATTCAACAGAGAGCAAAGAAGAATCAGAGACACCAGCTGGGATGTAAAGTGAAGATCAGGTATGCAGCAATGATCTGTTCAAAGGTACCTAAAATTAGAATAAAGTTAACAATAGATTTTGTAAAAATCATATAATTCTATAATTAATGATGACTAAACCCCAATACTACCTCTCACTACTTGGATTGCTTCTTAATTTATTTATTTTATTTTAGGATTTGCCATCTTATTAGAAAAATTGTTTTAAAAGCATGATTGGCTGCCCATTTCAACAAATAGGCCCCTATCCCACTATTGTAGAGTTTTATCCTACACACACACAAAGTAGAGGATTGCTCCACAGCCTTTGTTTTTAACATTGAACTTAAAGAATGTTTCTTTGCATGTAGCTTAAGGCCAAGTTGAGTTATGTTTTATCTTGCTGAATTTGATCCAGCATTGAATTCTGGTAGTACTACTAATTTTCAAACATTAAAAATAAAACTATCAATTTTGTGTTTACCGCGTGCAAAGTGTAAAAATGGAAAGGATTTTAAAATAAATTAAAATCAAGACTCAATAAATGATTGTTTAACTTTTTTATCTTTCCAGTGATACAGTCCAGCCATATTTATATAATTTATATATTTTATATCTGATTTTATATTGTCAAATATATATGTCTATGTGCTGATGAAGCTGTTATACAAGTTTCATTACTCCAGCATTGCTTATGATAAAATATATACTTTGTCAGTGACGTACCATGAGTTAGGTATCCTGTTAAGCTATAATTATTTATTAAAAAATATCTTATCAATTTTTTTTTCAAATAACTGGGATTGAACTTTTTTTTTTTTTAATGCATTTGTATTATTTTTATTAAATAATTCAAATAAATAAATTATATTTTTATAATCACTCTGTGCCTTTTTCTTGTTTACCTTAAGATGTTTATGATTTTAGTTCCATTCTGTTATATGCTTGTCATTCTTATCTGATTTGTTTGTTTTTTTAATCTGTTCCATGTTTTTAAGTGTGTAGAATGTATAAGAGTTTGTGTTCACTTTTTAGTTTTAAAATGATTCACAACATATCCACTGCACAGTTACTTTTCTCATGCCGGTATTTACACCATTGTGGTAAATTTATTTATTTATATTTGTTCAATTTTTTAAAATCTTTGTTTAGTGTTTGCTACATTTCTTCATATTTTTAAATAAGTCATGGTTTTTTTGTTTCTCTAAATTACAATGAGTGATGCACACATGGGCGCCCGCAGGTAGGGGCACTTGCCCCCCCCCCCCTGGATTGATTGGATAAAAAATTTTTAGACAAAAAATGTATTAAAGTAAAGAGAAAACAAAGAGAAAGTAACTAAGCTGATGTCCGTTCGTTCACCATACAAATACGCTACGGTAAATTAAAATTCTATACAACATTACTAACAAAAATTTTGCCCCCCCTCCTGGAAAGTTAATCAATTTTTTTTTTGCCCCCCCCAGAAAGTTTTCTGCGGGCGCCCATGGATGCACATATAATCCTTAACTCTTCATTGTATCTACAAATCAACTCTCAACCCTCACAGCAGGTTTTCTCCCCAGACTGTTACCTAAAAAGGTACCCCCCAAAAACTTGGATTTATTTATTTCATTTTCATCATTTGAAAGTTAATGGTGTATGTTTAGGAAATTAAAAAATCATGATCCGAACAAAAAAAATAATAATTCCTTTTTATCAAATTTTATTTGATTGTTACCCAGGTATTTTCCTTGTTTACTTTCTGATTTTTTATTGTTTACAAAAGGCATGAAAATTCTCCTTTCATTACAAACCCCTCCCCCCCCCCCCAACCTCTTTTTATTTATAATTTTCAAGCTAAAACAAACAACTCTTAAAATCATGATCCTAAACAAAAAAATAATAATTCCTTTTTTTCAAATTTTTTTTGATTGTTACCCAGGTATTTTCCTTTTTTCCTTTCTTATTTTTTATTGTTTCAAAAAGGCATGAAAATTCTCCTTTCATTACAAACCCCCCCCCCCCCCCCCAACCTCTTTTTATTTATAATTTTCAAGCTAAAACAAACAACTCTTTTTCAAATAGCCCAGTTGTAAACAGTTTTTGTGTGGACGTCATGATTTAAATTGATAGTTACTGGATTCTAAGGAAAATAACTTGAGTCAAAGATTTCCATTAAAATATGTATTTGCTATATTTTGTAAATGTTATTGTTTTCTTAAAACAAGGATTCAAATAAACATTTATTTTAAAGTTTACATGTTGTCGTTATATCCATCAAGGTGCATGTGACAAGGTTTAATTCTCCCCACTGATTAGGTTCTTGTCTGTGATCTGCACAGATCCCCTATCTCAAATAACTGACACAGTGATTTCCATGACTTGACATCCGCCCCCCAAATGAGAGAAAAAAAAGATGTGTGCAAGTTTTTATTTGTTGTCTCATTCATTTCATCTTGCAGAGGGGGGTGGGGGAAAAGGGGGGGGGGGGGGGTGGAAGAGGATACTTAGCCAAGAGTATGGTGCTGCTCATAGACAAGCTATTTCATTTTTCCTTAACCAGTAAACTGACTGTTACATGGGGATTAACTTTTGTTTGTTTATAGAGGGGTTCCAGGAGAGAAATCTACAACTTTGAGAGGTTGGGGGGAATCCTTAATTTTAGAGTTGTTTGATATTTTGAATTAGAATGTGTAATTTGCATTTGGTTTCTAGTTAGTGGTTCCCAAACTGTGTGGCATGAGGCAAAGTAGCTGTATATAGCGTGGTTCAGAAAAGAAAAAAAAAAGGGGGGGAGGGGGGATCTACAACTTAGTAGAATTATATATTTTGAATTAGGGTTGTAAAGATTCAAAGAGATTTAAATTTAAGCACAATTTAAAAGGGAAATATAATTTTTTTTAAAAATCTTGCCCATGATGTGACATCTGTGAAGCACCTCATAGAGCTTTATTGATGTCTCTGGGAACTCATTTAATCAGTTTATTTTTTACTCAAATAATTATTAATTTCTACCTTCTTGGTATCTCTTTTTTTTTAAAGTTGATATCTATTTTATAAATGAATGACTGCTTTGAGTTATAACATTTGGTATTATATGTGTATTACCCGGTACAAGTTTTCACTTGACTTAAATTAGCAAAGTCATTTCATCTGTTAGCATTGACCAGTTTGAGTTTTTAAACCATCTTACGGTCCTTACACACAACCCAGGGAGCTACTATTTGGTAAACAGCTCCCAATTGTTGAGTATTTAAATCTTTAACATTTTGTCATGTTATTCAATTTTTAACGAATTTAGTTGGAATATCTAATTATTTCCATTAAATAGCTGTAGCAGACTTCAGTTTGTTTTTTTAAAAAAAAGAATATCACTGACGAGTCGATCAACAGTATAATATTCTTCATTTATATATATTTTTTTAATACGTGTAATTAATATTTTAATGCCCCTAGAATTTGGTAAACTGCTTTTCCTGTACTAATAAAGTTCAATACTCTAAAAAGGTCGAGAGTCTATCTCTTAGGACCTCGGCCATGAAACATGCCCTAGTAGTCCCTGGGGACTCCGGCCATGCAACACTGTCTCGAGTAAAATGGTGTTCTAGGCAGTTTGCTTCCACTCACCAGGGGACAGCTTTGTGTCACCACCCTCGGTGCCCATTGAGTCATGCGGTTTGGACGTTGGGTTGGAGCGGCTTTGCTTCCTCTCCGGGGATGGTGTTGCGTTACCTCACCCCACCGTCCAGGGAGCCGTATGTTCCTTGGTGTGGCACCGCTTTACCTCCACTCCGGGAGTAGTCTCGAGCTTAACTTTCTCCCACCGCTCCTGGGAGTTGTGTGGACGTGGGTCAGAACGGCTTTGCTTCCTCTCCGGGGAAGGTGTTGTGTTACCTCACCCCACCGTTCGGGGAGTAGTTCGGACGGGACTGTTTCGGGACGAAACGGTCGCCTAGGAGCGGCTTTCTCAAGGCCGCATGTTTTTAATCCTCAGGAGGGTTTTCAGAAAAAACCCAAGCCTCATATCCATTATTGGTGACACGTAATCATGTTAGCATGCATCTCCCGTTGCGTGGGAAGTCATGCGTTTTGCTTGGATCTTTTAGCTTCAGGGGTCTCCTCCCTACTAGTCTTCCACACCATGCAGAGGTAAGATCCGTGTGACACCTCCGAATTTCTTCGGGGGTGTGCTCGTCGACCTAGAGACGTTTGGTCAGTTCACAGCGAAGCTTTTCCTGTACTAAAAGGCCTGACCTGGATGTGAACGTGTTTAAAAAGTGGTCTGGTGACGCTGTACCACGAAGCTGATGTTGTTAAGTTGTCCCACAGAGGGAATGGAGGGGGCACGCAGAGTTAAAATGGTGGAAGCTATTGGCAATGGCCTAAAGAGGACATACAAAGGGGAAGGTCTTAGCGCCACTGGTCTTGATTTTTTGTAGTTAATGACATGTGTTGCTCCAGAATCAAAGTGAACGGAACCCTGGTGTAGTGTCTGAGCAGGGCCGTCTTTACAGCAGCGGAGGGCCTGGGCACAGTAATGCACTGAGCCCCCCCCCCTAATCTCTATATAACATCAGAAAATTAAATTTGATTTGCAATAAAATTTCTTCACTCTTGCCTATATGAATGAAGGGCCAAATATCTTTAACAAATAATAGAAAATATGGAAAATATTTTTTTAACAATTTTCATTTCAATAGTATTTTTATGAATAAAAACATTCAACCCTTTTTTTTCTTGTAAACCAAAAGAGGGTTAGTGTTAAGTTAAATTCGAAAAGTGTCCCTGATTTTTTGAGACAGTTGCTGTACTGTCTATAGGATTTGTATTGAATTTAAACAAGCTTAAATTTTTATATTTTCAGCTGGACCCCTGTGGATAGCTATATTGCACTTGATGTTTTTAAGTTTTGTATTTAAATGTACTAGTACAATAATATCAACAAGATAACAGTTTCATTTAATAACTTTGATACAAAATGTTCAGATCTGTGAGAATTATTTTTTTTTTTAATTTGAAAACTTTCTTAATTTTAGATGGTCACTGTCTATTTGTACAGAAAATTTAATTGAATTAGTGTTATTAGTTTAAAAGTTATGTTTATAAACATACCAGTACATTAATGTCAAAAAATAACATGACATTTTGTAAAGCAAGATTTTAATTGCCTTTGTAATATTTTAATATTCTGTTTCATTTGGATTGTTACTATCTATTTGTACTGAAAATGTCCTTGCAGTCGCTTGATTAGCTTAAAAATTATGTAGGTATTTAAGTACATGTAATTCTTGAAGAATTGTGTTGATCACCTTTAATATTGTCCATGCCCTTAATAACACCTTGATGCAAGACTAGAAGTAACTGATCAATTTTGTTATACAAAAAACTTTTAATTAGGAGAAATATAAAAAAAAAAGTGTTTCAATTTCATATGCAGACCTGTTTACTCTTACGATTTTGGCGTACAATGTACGATTTTGATGTGTATAAATTATATATAATGTATGTTGTATGTTAAGTTTTTTTACTATTAAGATAATGTATTGAACGATTTTGTGATGATATTGTACGATTTTAAGAGTTTGAGGTTAAACAGATCTGCATATGCAAAGCAAAGGTGATGATTTCATCAATAGAGAGATGGTCTACTAATTATAGACAATGATCTTTCACATGCAGTGCACATAAGAAGTTTACAAAGAATATTTTCAAGTAGGCCTATTTTATAGCCAATAATTAATTAAATATATAAAATTGTCTGAACATCTACATAAAATATATAATTAACAGAAAAGTCCAAGTCTATAATATCAAAAAAGGGGATAAGAAAGAATACTTAAATTAACTGTTTAATTTTCTAATGCATTCTACATCGAGTTTGAGGGTAGGAATGGGCATTAAATACGGATTGAAACTAGGTCCTAAATTTCACATGACACTATAGATAGGGCCAGGACATTATAATTATAGGAAATTAATTTATGCAGCCTTTAAAGGTGATAATTGTTGTACTAAAGTATAATCCAGATGCCTGCTTTTGAAAAAACAAGATATAACATGTTTATTTCACACATATGCATAATTAGTTTACCACTTACTATAAACACTTTCCAAAAGAAATCACATTTGAACATTTTTTGCCTCCTGAATGTGTCCTTTTGTGTTGAGTTAGGTGACTACTATCTGTAAAATATTTCCCACAGACATCACATTTGAAAGGTTTTTTCCTGAATGTGTCCATTTGTGTTGATACAGATTTCTTGTGCTTCAAAAACCTTTCCGACAAACATAACATTTATAAGGTTTTTCTCCTGAATGTATCCTTTTGTGTTTTTCTAGGTGACTTTTGTGTAAAATCTTTCCCACAGACATCACATTTGAAAGGTTTTTCTCCTGAATATATCCTTCTGTGTTCAGTTAGATCATGATTTGTTGTAAAAACCTTTCCCACAGACATCACATTTGAAAGGTTTTTCTCCTGAATGTGTCCTTTTGTGTCGAGATAGATTAATATTTTGTGTAAAACCTTTTCTACAGACATCACATTTGAAAGGTTTCTCTTCTGAATGTGTCATTTTGTGTGTAGTTAGATTACTATTTTGTGTAAAACCTTTCCCACAAACATCACAAATGAAAGGTTTTTCTCCTGTGTCCTTCTGTGTTTAGTTAGATTACTAGCTGCTGTAAAACCTTTCCCACAGACATCACATTTGAAAGGTTTTTCTCCTGAATGTGTCCTTTTGTGTCGAGATAGATTAATATTTTGTGTAAATGTTTTCCCACAGACATTACATTTGAAAGGTTTTTCTTCTGAATGTGTCCTTTTGTGAGTAGTTAGATCATGATTTGTTGTAAAACTTTTCCCACAGACATCACATTTGAAAGGTTTTTCTCCTGAAAGTGTCCTTCTGTGTTTAGTTAGATTACTAGCTGCTGTAAAACCTTTCCCACAGGCATCACATTTGAAAGGTTTTTCTCCTGAATGTGTCCTTTTGTGTGTAGTTAGATTACTATTTTGTGTAAAACCTTTCCCACAGACTCACATTTGAAAGGTTTTTCTCCTGTATGTTTCCTTTTGTGTCGAGTTAGGTGACAACTATCGGTAAAATATTTCCCACAGACATCACAGTTAAAAGGTTTTTCTCCTGTATAGGTTTTTTTCTGTTTGAGTTGTCTGACTCTCTCAGAAGTTTCTTTCTTCTTTAGACTTCATTGTAATGGATATTTTTCCACACCATTAGGTTGGTCAGTTTGTTCTCTGGATACTTCCACCTGCTTTATTTTCCAATAGTCACCATTGTATTTTTTTCTCAAGTGATTCTCAAGGTATATTTGATGTGAGAATGCAGTAGTACAAAATTTGCACTTGAAAATATCTGTAATACATCAGACACGGATAAAGTTAATTAGTTACTTTATTTAAAGTAACTACTGGTACGGTAATCAATATGATTCAAAGAACAAAAATAAAATGGGATTGGACTCTTGAAATGAAAAGCAAATGTCATTTCATGTATAACATAATTTATGACTTAGTTTTATAAGTATATAATTATAAATGACAAAAATGGCAGTTCAAAGTCTTTATACATTGAAGACATCCATTCACACAATGTAAATAATATTATGTAGCCTACTATAAATTATAAAAATATAAGCATACCCTCAACTATTGCTGATGGACTACCATCTCTGTCATCCTGACTAGGATCAAGCCCACATCCATTGCTTGTTGGAATGATGAAGTCATTTACCCTTGAATGTTCTGACCCCTTTGATGAGGATATTCTGCTATCTTTGCTAACAACCTGCATGTCTATTCCTAACTCCTTGGCATAACTGTCCCCATAGTATACCTGAAACCAACATAAATACATCAACTAAATCATCTGTCACCATTGTATGCCTGACATAAATATATACAACTTATTCAGCCAAGAGAACAAATAAGGAGAGAACTTCTTATCGAAGAAGACTGGAGCTCGTCTTTACCCTCTAAGTCCATGTTCATCTAATTATTTTCTAAGCATTGTAGTATTATAGCATTTTAGACCTAGGACCTAAGTTATGGTTGGTAAATCAATACTTTGATAAAAATACACTTCTTAATTACCAGTATCTATAACTTGAGTTAAGTAGGGGGAAATTAAGCAACTAGTATCAAGTGACCAACCTCTTAAGTAACCTTAATATCATTTTCTATTCATTAAAAGACAAAAACAACTAAACAATTATTTTTTAAAAGAACAGTTCTTGTATAGTCTCAGTTTCTAATATAATTTTATTTGAATTAATTTCATCCTCGATCCCGGGATGAGAGTTACTTTATCCCCTTTTCCTGGGATAAGAAAGATCCTTTGCAATGAGAAACCCGAGTGTCTAGAGTGGATTTAACAGTCTTAAGACAATTAAAAAACGTTGTCAAGCACATGCTCATTCAATAAATTTCACTGTTAAATTTTCTTTAGGATTTGAAATTAAAACTAGTCTAGCTAGCAGTAGAAACTAAAAATAAAATGTTAGTAAAGAAAAAAAACACCAAAGAAGGGAAGCCTCCATTGTTTAAATACAAGACCAATCTCAATCAGTGCAGCTCTGATAAAAAAAAATTAATATCAACTTATATTATTGAAAATCTCACATTCAGCTTGAGGCCGAAGACGTTCTTCATATATAATATCATAAATAAGGGTGCATTCATAAAGGAGTGGGGATTTCTCCCAAATATGTACAAGGGATGAAAGAGTGTGCAGAATCTAGACTGCTAGCATTAAAATTTTCTTTGTTTACTGTATATGCTGATTTAGACCCACTGCATGTATTCAGATATGTTCAATAATTTTTTATTCCGGATGTCCTCTATTATTGATCTATTTAAGGAGGTGTAAGCAACAAATGTGGATGGGGTGGGAAATGCATATTTTTTTCGAACATCCTTTATGAACAACCCTTTACGGGCCATCCTAATAGGACCGTTACACAAAGAAAGTCAATGCAAGCATGCTTTTTTGGACTCCCCTCTGCATACATAAAGATGTTCTTTCAACCCTCCTCCCTTAAACTTTAAAAAAAAAACGGTCACAGGTTTCTAAATCTATCTGTTTGGCCTTGACATAGACCAGTGGTTCCCAGAATTAGAAACGCGTCACTGTGGATAGCTGTGTTGCCCTCTGGTAAGGCCATGCCAAAGGGTGGAGGACAAAGGAGGAAATTGCCTCAGGAGCCAAAAATCATCTTTACATAAAACCTTAATTAATAGTGAAACTTAATTAATAGTGAATTAAACTATCAAATCTCATGTGTTATATTTATTTTTAAACATTCTTTAATTTTTAAAAATGAGCTAGTTGTAAGTGTATTTGTTAGAATTTACATTGACATAGAATCATAGGGCATTAAAAAACCCACCTAAATTTGGCGATGGTGCCAGAAATAAATAAATTTTAGAACCACTGGGTAGCTGAACATAATGTCACACACACACCTAAAGCATGCAATACAATTAAGGTGACAAGTCAAATTAATATTAGTTTTACTATAACTAGAGTGATAGCAAATGAGGTCTCTTGTTAAAACCCAAGGTAAAATTATGAGGATAATTATCTCATTATCTACAAAACATTAGATCAGTGGTTCTCAAAGAAGCCGGCACTGCTCAGTGGGGTGATATAATGTTCCATAGTCTTAGGGGGATGGTCGAATTACCTGATAGGGCACAGGAGAATTTTACTTAGCTAACTTTTTAAAATCAGAAATTTCTTTTAAAAAGTTATTTATTTATTTATTATTTAGATATAACTAGATCTAATGCTCTCAGACACAGCACGAATGAAATTTGATCTTTTCAAAAGAACACGCAGCAATAATAACGAAATTTTTATACTAAGCAGGGATCAATGAACAGACAACCGTAATAAATTGACTAGAAGACAGGTCCTGACAGAATGTTAAAAAAACAATGACCTAGGACTCAGAATATAAAAGGAGTGGAATCTTGACAGGCATTATTTCTGTTATGTTTTACTTCTCATGAACAATGCTTGATTCAGGGGTGTAATAGTTTTATATGGAAAACAATACTGACAGTGCATGGTGCAATTATGTTTTAATTTGAATTTTATGGGCAATTTGATACAGATAAATGAAAGTCTTGCTTGTTCTTCATATAAAAAAATGTATTGCTAAGCTTGTTTTTTTTTTAAAGAAAAGAAAAAAAATTACTTATTTTAAGACAATGATTTTAACTAAAATGTGTTCCTATTAATTATAAATATAATTAAGTCTGAGCTGAAAAAATTTAGAGCAGTTTTTGTTGATAATATTTTAATCATGTAATATTATTTTTTTATCATTTTGTAGCATCTGGTGAGGGAGTAGCTATTTGGAAATCATTTAGTTAACATGTAGTTTTTAAAATTAATAACTCTCAGAATAAAAATGGTAGAAATAGGGGTAAAAAATGTAGATAATAGATTTTGTAATATCTTAGGTATGGATCTAAACCAGCAGTAACAAGTAGATACCATGTGACTAATATGCCAAAAGCAGTGGGGTAGAAAGGTCTAGTGCCATCAGGAGCGGACCAAGATAGTTTCAACCCACTTTGCACAAAAAAACTCAACTGTTTGCCAGAGACCCATAGATAAAATGACTGAGAATAATAATATTGAAGATAATTTATGTAACACACTGAAGTCAACAGAATTTACATTCGACTTTGCCAGGCAATGTATCTTTGCTTTCTTCTTACAAACGTTTAGTAAAAGATGAAGTTTGGTTCATGGGCGCCCCCAGAAAACTTTCCGGGGGGGGGGGGGGGCAAAAAAAAACATAGCAAAAATTTTTTAGTAATGTTTTAATATAGTTTTAATTTACTGTAGCGTATTTGTATGGTGAACGAACGGACAGGACATCAGCTTAGTTACTTTCTCTTTATTTTCTCTTTACTTTAATAAATTTTGTGTCTATTTTTGTCTAAATTTTTTTTTTTCAATCAATCCAGGGGGGGAAAAAGTGCCCCCCCCCCTTGCACCACCCCCATGGTTTGGTTTAATAATTATTATCATTTAAGCAAGACAGATAGCAACAGATACCAAAAGGGGAGTCAATATTTCCTATTGCTGAACAATTCTTCATTGAAATGACAATTCCTTAAGTAACATGCTTCCTATTGCAATTGATGGAGCACCATCAATGACTGGTTACTACCCTGGGTTTGTAGTTTCTTTTAAAATAAGCAGTGCTATCTTTCATTACTATTCATTGTCTCATTGATGCCAACATCTGATTGATAAAAATCTCGGTGATAGCAGTAGTAGTAATTTTTAAGACACAAATGTTGCTCAAAGTACTGACCACAGATACATAAAAACCAGCATTGCTTATTTATCAGATAAATTTTCTAAATTCAATCAAATAACTTTAGAGTTGCAATGAAATAAGACTAAACTCACCAAAACCAATTTAATTATCTCTAAATTTTTATCTTAATTAATTCTGTTGACACACAATATTGGTCATCGTGAGTTATTCCAATTTCCAAGCAGGTCTGAACTAGAAGAGAAAGATGGGATACCAGATAATGCTGTAGAAGTATTTTGTGACCATTTGGATATTCAACATAAAGATATGTCTAAGTGATTTAAGATCTACTTTTGATTCCAGTTTGGTGGATAAATCCGTTTTTCGGATACTGAGACAGGTAAAGAGATTTACTTCAGCTTAAAAATGATATAGAGCTGAGAAAAAGGTTCAGAAGCTCACACCTAGAGTTTTGGCTACAAAAGATAGTTACAAATAGTTATCCTGTACTCTGGAAAGTTGTTGAGAGACTTCCTGTTGCTTTCCAAAATCACAGTTGTTGGGACGTGTTCATAGAATGGTGTTGTTTAACTTTTCTCCAAGCAAAGTAATAGGATCCAGATAACGGAACTAGGCCATTTAAAAGTGATTTTCAAATAGACATTGAAAAGCTGATATCTATTCACAATGCCGGTCCAACATATTAAAAACATTTGAACAGCCAAGAAATTTAGTTACTAATATTAATTGCCGAAATTAAATTCTTGATTTGTAACTATCCTACTTTAAAAGCTGAGGTCTTGTTATAGTTGGAAGCTAATCAACTTTATTTGTAAAGATGTTCAAATAAATGTTGCACTTCTTTATTTTGTGATTTTATAACTTTCCTTACAGGCTTGTACAAAACTAATACTCTGAACATTATTTTAAAGGGTTAATATAGGGGGGCCATAGGGAAGTGTTTATATCCTCAAGTGGGCAGTGGACAAAAAAGTGAATTTGTTAAATTTACTTAAATGGGTACACAATCCCCCACCCACCCCCGCGGCCATACCCAGGTGTAGCAAAATCGATAACCCCCTCCCCAACTTAGTGCACACATATTATATTGATGGCCCCTTATCTAATAATCTATGCATTCAAAACTGATAATTGCTTGGTTAGTAAAAATGACCCTAAAGTTAATGCAAGCTGTTTCAATAAACAGCCAGAGTAACCATGTTGGTTCAATGTCTCACCAGTATTTCTGTGCCAGGATGAACATCCTTGTGAGTTCTGTAATAGATTTCTCCTCCATTTTGGTAGGCAGTTACACACTGCTCGTCTTCATGCCTAGCACAGTTGACAAATCTCATCTAATTAGAGTCACTCGGGTCACAGGCATTAATAAAGTGTGAGGGCTTGCCATCTTTATAGATCTAAATATGTTAAAGATATGATGAGATTATCAATGAATACTTAAGGAATTCAGGCAAGTAGTTCAAATATAATTTACAAACTTTCTGCCAAATAACAAAAATGCTTTGCTTATTTCGCAAGCCACTTATCAATGGTTCACACAATAAAATTGTCTACTGCAACTTCTCTTCACATATTATAAGATAAGGGCAAATCATAAGGTAATCCACTATAACCTCTCTTTACAATATAAGACACTGGTAATCAATAGAGTCCACAATAGCCTCTCTTCAAACTATAAGGGTAAATAATATAGAGGTTCACACAATGTAATGCATATTATCCTGATACAATTCAAACTAGTTACAATATTATCTATTTTCATTAAAAACTGCAATGCAAAAGTTATTTAAAGGTGACAGATTTGTTCTGCTAAAATGTTTAGCACCCCTCTGACAAGGTACATACATATCCAGATCATTGATGATTCAGTGGTAGGGTGACTGGGGAAAACCATGAACAGAGATTTTGGCTTCATCATAAAATATATAAATAATATGGGGTAGTTACTGCTGGATCTGTAACAGGGTGAGTGGTAGATTACCAGGAATAGAAAAATGGCCTAACTAATAAATGGAACAAAAGCTAATCAGATTGTTTTTCCACTAGCCATTCAATGCAAAAAACGCTAATCAGATTACGTAGCCACTAACCAATCAATGCAACAAGTGCCAATCAGATTATATAACCACTATCCAATCAATGCAACAAGAACTAATCATAATATTATGTTTCCACAAGAAGGAGCGAAAAATTGTAAGGATTAATTTTCTACACAAAAAAAAATATTGTGAACATTATGTTACAAATTAAACAATTCTTTCATACACAATAACATGTTCAAGTTATTTAGAAGAGTATGACCCAGAATTTATAGCAATATAAGTCTAAAAAAAAGCATCAATCCATCAACCAAAGATGATGTGTCATCTAGCTCAAAATCTCTCAAGCAAAACTACAAAGTTTAGGTATTTTTTTGTGTGAAGCATTATCTCATCCAAGTAGCAGAATCCCCTTTCCATGCAGACCCAAATGGATCAACTTGGCACCAAAAATGCCGCAGGAAATACATTTAGTTTAAAGTGTGTCTAAATTTGTCCATCTCCCAATTTTTCTTTTGAGGTTTACTAGCATGGTATTACCAAAGAGAGTCCTGCTAAAAGGTAAGAGATTTTGAAGTAATAGTTTCCCAGAGGAAACAATTTAAAAATTTAACCCTTTGGAAACAGAGCTTAATTTGGAGTTTCAGTGTCAAGAAGATAAAGCTCATTTCACAAACACTTGCATTGCAAAAAAACTAATTAAAAAAATAAACTAATTACTTTACATTATAAAACTATGTATAATCTTGTAGGAAATTGAATAAACTAATACAATCTTTATGAATAAAGCTGAAATCTCAAAATTTATTCAATTGAGCTATTTAATTTGCATAATTTATGCATGTATTTTTTGTAACACTTAAAATAAACATGACTCGTAAAATTTAGGTGAATTAATGGAATCATGATGCCTGAATAAGTGCTAACACCTGTGTTTTAGAAACCAGTTGTCAGGCCTTTCAGTGAGAAGTGGATACCTACAGTTACTTGTCTTGCTTTCAATTTATATTGATGAGCTATAATTGTATAGGCCTACTTATTTAGACAATGGGAATTTTTCTGTGGTGTACAAGGCAGCAGCTCTTTGCATATGCATGTGACTGGACATGTCAATAGCTGCATCTGTCAGTTATAAATTATTCAAAATTGTGCTATGTTATATGGCAGACATAAATCAAGTTTATTATATTATTTAGGAATTTTAAACTTGACACAATATTTGACATACTTTTTGCATCCTACTCAAGACTTACTTGCCAACTATAGCCAGACTCATAGGCTACCTCTTCATTTTTCTCTTTCTTTCCAATATATGGTCCAAATCTGGTTCGAGCTGGAAAAAATTTAGTTGCTACAACTCCAAGACCAGCACCTTGGATTTTTGATTTCTTAATGGCAAGTCCTTGGGGCAAAGTTTTCCAACAGTAGCTTGTGTCCAAACCTTTCTCACACTCAGTGGGGACCTAAACATTTTAAAGAGTTTATTTTATTCAATGTTTTGTTTAATTAGTGGGAAATTTGAACTATGTGGCAAGTTGGCAGTGTGACAGATGTTTCTATAAAATGAGAAGAAGGAAAACATAAGGATATGGCTGTTTTATTTACAGTTGGGATGAAGTCAATTGATGGTTTAGAAAATGTATTTGAAAAAGGAATAATTTGTTTAATTTAAGTCAATAGGGACTTGGGCAATGATGCTGTACTAATTTTTGACCCACAATTTAAAAGTAAGTCTTTTATTTATTCCATTAGTGTTCAATTCTTATTGCAATTTAAAGTTCACACAAGACCTCTACTTCTAGGGGAATAAGATTGGGAACTATGGTAGTATGTTTGCACCACTAATTCAATAAATAAAAATATTAATATTTTATAAATACAATAGTGAAGGACCAAATCAATTATAACTTTTTATCCCCAAAACCTTATTTCTAGCAAAAACAATGTGTCCAATTAAATTATGTATTTAAAAAAAAAAAAAAACTTTACAGAGGAACAGGAACCTTAGAGATATGCTTGTTAGAAGCTATCTCTATACTACTACTAAGCATACATTGGCATCAGAACATGTAACCCATGCAGTATGATGTGTTCAGAATCTTGGATGGATAATTAATTATTGCTAGCACCAGACCCAATATAAAAAAAACAAGAATTCTGTCCCATTTGAAACATTTAAAACAGTGATAACAACAGTGTGATATTGGTATCAGATAAGTTAGGTTTTGCAATTGGTCTCCTAAAATTATTTTTAAGAATTGATAAGTTAACCGAATTCACACTTTAAATAGCTTCAATATTGTTTCCTGCTTTGTCTTAAACCGTATTTCTACCCACAACCTTTCTCTTCTTTTCTTCTCAAGTTTTTCAATGACTCAAGCCAACCCTTTTCCCTTCCTCCATCATCATCATCAGTGGCACTACAGCCCATGCAGGGCCCTGGCCTGCACCACCACATCCTTCCATTCGGAACGATCCATGGCTTTCCGCCTACATGCACAAACCCCAAACTGGTGTAAATCCTTCTCTACATCGTCGATCCATATCAGCCTTGGGCATCTGGTGAGTCGTCAGCCCATACGTCTCTGCCTATAATACCCCTTTTGTTGCTCTACATTCTGGCATCCTTTTAATATATCCAGCCCAGCGTAGTCTGCCTTTTTTTATTTTTTTATTTTTGCGGCTATGGGTGGGTCTTTGTACAATTGTTATAGTTCTTGGTTTGTGCGGATTCTCCAGATATCATTTTCCATCACTGGGCTGTATATTTTCCTTCCCCATGTATTGAGAAGGTTCTCTTCTTTTCTGGTAAGGGTCTGAGTCTCACTAGCTTAAGTTACTACTGGTCTTATAATGTGGTGTATATTATCTTCTTTGTTCCCCTTGAGAGGTTTTTTCTTCCAAGTAGCTTTTGTGGGCTGAAATAGGAACGGTTGCCTGCTGTTATCCTTTCTTTCACCTCCGACATTATTTCATTGTGCTTGTTTATAGTTGCCCCTAGATACTTGAATGTAGCCACTCTCTCAAATTTGTGGTTGTTTATACTGATGTTGTCATCAGCGTGGGAGTTTTGTGACATTAACATATATTTTGTCTTTGGTTCATTTACATCAAGACCAGCTTTTACTGAGGCTTTTTCAAGTTCCCTGATTGCTTTTATTGTGTCATTAATGTTTCTACCCAGCAGCACTATATCGTCTGCATATACCAGGTACTGCAATAAATGGCTATATAAGGTGCCTGATGGTTGTTGTTCTGTAATACCTCTCTGGAAGTAGTTTGTTATGGTTCCACTGGTACTCACATGTATGCTTCTAATAACTTTTTCTAGGATGAAGTTGAACAGGATACATGATAGTGAGTCTCCTTGTCTGAGGCCCCTATTAACTCCCTTGAGTATTCTCCCTCAAGCCTACCATTTTCCCTTCCTTCAGTTTACTTTTTAGGTAGCTAATAAATTATGATATGTAAATAAAATTTAAATTCATACAATTTTTGTATTTGTTTAATTGATATAGGCATTATACTAAAACACCTTAAATTATTATATTGTTTTACTTAAACAAAAATTGTTCTAATTGTTTTTGTTTTTTTTAACAGGTGGGGAAATTAGTGAAACAACTTTCTTTTCATGACCCTGAACAATAATAAAATGAGATATAAGTTATATTTTTCTATTGAAATGAATGCAATAGCTATTAGACTGATTTAAATTTAAAGATTATTTATAGGTTTCTTTTGGAATTAATTTTTGTTTAATGCACTGAAATGTCAATCAGGCACACTTGAGACAAACACTTGGCAGGAAAAGAGTTTTTTTTTAATTATTGAGAATTTAATGAAAGAAGCTCCCAAAATTAACTAAATTCTAATGCATTTTATTTGCTCTAAACATGGAACTGAATGTTTTGAGTACACTAGAGACACTAAAAATTACAATTATTCAATTCTTACTTTTCGATCTTCACTTGGAACAAGGCCATGTAATGGGCACTCAAACATATACTCCTCGCACTCTTCACAAACTGAAATAAGATATTATGTCATTAATATAATAGTAATATTTAAATTCAACCTCTCATCAAACCAACATACTACAGCCTGCCCCAAATGTGAGATTAAAAGACTTTAGGAAATAAACGACTATCTAAAGTCATGGAGCTAGCTTATGAGTGGATGACATACTGACAAATAAATGAGACTAAAAAGAGCTTATTAGTGAGAGACAAAATTTAAGTCATTTTTTTGGTGAGATTAACCCTTACAGTAACAGGCCCGTCTTTTTGCAGTGACCTACTTTTTCCCTGTGACCCAAGTGCATCTTTTTTCACCAGCCGATTGTTTTCCCTGTGGCCCAAGCGCGTCTATTTGTCACATAGAGAGGTATCTAATATAAGCACAGAAACGAGGATTTAACCGCAGTCTCAGGCAAAATGTTTATTCCTTAGGAGAATAGTCTAATTTTATTTTGCCTTTTAAATTGTTAAAATTGACCAATTATTGAGTTTGTTTGTGCTGATCTGTATTTGTTGTTTCCATGGCGCTACCTAGGGCTATTGTTGATGACGACTTACGTCCACTTGATGAAACATTTTGTTCTGAAACTATTGTTGAGCTTTAATTGGGATTAGATGATTCTGATAAGGAAGAGGGGGATGCAATAGTTGAAGGAAATAGGCCTACTAAAGCTCAAAATTTACGCCTATGGGACCCTGTAGGTTTGACAGGTTTTAGACTAGTAATAGTGTCAATGTAGATATTGATTTAGTAAGATCAACTGCACACTGTGCTAGCCGCACAATCCCCCTAGTGTGCCGTTGCCAATGAAAAGTTTGAGCAAAACAAGTTTTTTTAACACTCTTATCCATTTCTGACCAGATAATTCTCTACATGTTATCAATTGCTTAAAACAAAAAAGTTACAAAATAATTAAAATTTGCAAACCTATCTAATTTTGGCTCCTTCCAAAAAAATTTCTTGGCCACAGGGAATAATTAGCAAAATAATAGCAGGTACTGAGGCTATACAAGCAAAAAAAGTAGGTCAGTACTGTAAGCGTTAACAAACTAACTACAATCACTACATGATGAGTTTCTGTATTAAAAAAATCTAAGATAAATGAAGCAATTACTACAATGCAACTTAGGGTACAAAAGATAATAATGAACATCAACTATATCTACACTTATGTCATCTCTATCCTGTTTTAATTTCGTATCATTATACTAACTTGTCCTTAATGTTTTTTAAACATAATAAATGACATAATTTTTGAATGGCAATGGATAAGAATCAATAACACTATTATTATACATTGTTTTTAGTTTAGTTAATATTGTAAATACAAAACTTTTTGCTTAAAACTTTAAGATAAAATCTTTTTAAAATTAAAAAATAGAATAAGAAATATCAGCTCCAATACTTACCAAAAAAATCATCATCTTCAGGGACGGTGAGAGACATAAAATTTGTTATTCTTTTCTTCCTCATTGGATACTTGTGGACTTCCTCCTCACTCTCCACTTCTTTCTCATTAACTTTGACCTGTTTCTTGAACTAGCAGATTTTTGTTTTAATAAGCACTAATAGTTCATTAACTAAATTTAATAAGTAGGCCTATTCTACATTAATTGACATCAATTTCATTACCTAATTCAAGCATGAAGTTTAAAATAGCTGCTGAATGATTGTAAAATATGTCAACAAATTTTGGCTTAACTTAACCGTTTTAACATTTTTTAACATTAAGATTTTTTTCTCTGGTAAATATTAATTATAAATACCTTTTTTGTAATTAATAAATCTGATCTATACCTTTTTTTCTCTTGTACCTTCCAAAAACATGCAAAAAGTTTTTAATAAATAATAAAATATTTTGTTTAAAATATAGTGAAAAATAAAGTAATCCAATTTTAGTAAATAGACAAAAATGTTCGCTTTATAAGGGTGAAAATGTTTTGTTTTTTTAATAAGCACCCAGCTTCCTAAACAAGCATTTGTTCAATTTCAAAAAAATTATATTTTTGGGGTCAGTATTTTTTCTCATTTTAATGAACAACTGAGATGCCCATGAGAGCAAAACAATTAAACTGCCAGAACTAAAATGGATAGCCTGGTGAAAACGAAATGATGAAGCCAAAAAGAAATCTGACACAGAACAATTGAGAGCAGTCTGCAAAAAAGAAACCTGGCAACTCTCTAAAAATTGGCCAATAGAAAGAAGTGCCAATCCTTAATCTTGCCTCAAGTACCAGTCCGGACAAGATAATTAAATGAAATGAATGAATATTTTTACTGATTTTACCTGAAGTTACAGCTGCTTTTTCTACAGCTGGTGTCCATTAATAATCTGATCCTTCTGAGTCTGAGACGGGAATACTATTGGAGACACTGCATCTAGTCTGTGTGTTTTTCTTAACCATGAATTCTGGGGGTTTTACAGGTAAACCAGCAAGAGTAATGAATAGAGCTTTAATTCTAGCCAACACTCTATAAAAAAATATCTTTACATCTCTTTAAATATATTTAGCTCACAATCTTGCAACAGAAATATTTTATAAAAACTCAATTTTCAACTCATTTGATATACAATCATATAACTTACATGTTATGAAAAATTAATTTTGAGATCATTCAATGATGTTATTATAATTTATCGGATTATCTAGTTCTCAATACACTGTAATTGAACTTCTCTTTTTATTTTAAATCACAAAAATGAAAAACAAAAAAAGCTCTAAATGTAAAATAATATCTTTATTTGTTATTAAGGTATTTGCTTTTACAGTATTTTTTAAATTTCCTTTATTAGGTATTTAATATGTAGGATTGGTCAAGATATTATATTTAAAATAATTAAAGTCATGCAATTTTTGTTTCGTTTTTTTTTTGACAAAGGTATGAGCCACAAAAAAAAAAAAGTTTTATTCTGTCCATTTATTACTCTTTTACCTAATAAAATTAATGTCTTTAATTTGCTGTTACGAGCTTGTTTAAGATCTTCATAATTTTGTCTATTATATTTAAAATAATTAAAGTCATTAAATTTTTTTTTCGTTTTTTTTTTGACAAAGGTATGAGCCACAAAAAAAAAAAAAGTTTTATTCTGTCCATTTATTACTCTTTTACCTAATAAAATTAATGTCTTTAATTTGCTGTTACCAGCTTGTTTAAGAGCTTCATAATTTTGTCTCAAGCTCATCAAGTGCAGTCTTTCATAGGCAGGTATAGCAGCATATTCTTTAGGTGTAAAAAACTCCTCTATAGTTACTGCATTTTTGGGGGGACTTTTAAAGCACTTCTCCATGGCTAGATGACTTGTAGTTATCTCAACATTATATAAATGGAGGTGTTAGAAGCCTTAAACGCAATTTTGTTTTTAACAGACTGCTAAGTAGTTTTTTTAGCCCCCCCCCCCACCCCCTTTTTCCAAACTCTGAAGCCCATTATTTTCATTAATAAAATACTATCAAGGCCCATTTTGGCGCCCACGCTAGTCGATCACCTGAGACATCTGTTCCCCTCTGCCCACCCCCCTAGCCAAGGCTTTGGTGTAGTTCTACACATGATACATACCTGTGTGTAAGCTTACATTTTTAAAGGGAAAAGCTTAAATTTTAATGGTATGCAGATACTATAGTAAGACACTCAAATAGCCAATTCTAAATCACTAATAGATTTTAGGATACATGGTACAAATTTTATTTCCTGAATATTTGGTTAATGTAAAAGAAAATTATTGCGAGAAGAGAAGATTATTTGGTTAATAAAAAGAAGAGATCACAAAAATGCTATGAGTATTTTAGCTAGACCAAGAGAGGAGTGTCACAAATGACCAGGGCAGGGTGTAACAATGGCGCTCCATTGCATTTCCATGTTAGTAATAATGCTATTTTGTTCGGGTTTTCCCCATGGGTCGCACCACGTTAGCTGGATTTGGAATGGGTGATGGGCGATTTCCGGGAGAGGAGGAAAAATGTTTTGAGGTTAAGGAGCGTGGAAGATTACTGAATGTTTTGGGAAGCTGGGAAGCGTTAAAGACTAATGGATGTTAACGGTGAAAGGGAATATTGTTAGACTGTATTGGATTTATTAATACATTCTTTGTTGATAGTTGTTAATGAGGAATTTATTGGTCATTCTTCTTCTTCTTTATTTTAAGGGCCCACGATCAATGAATTGATCATTCTGGCGCCTATGTTTCAGAGGGGTTTGCGATGTTACTGTTCATGGGTTTCAATGGGATACTTCACTGGTTGCAAGGGCGACTCAGCAGTGGTGTTATGGACTGGGGGTTGGAATACAGGAGGCAATAGACACAAATGTGTCTAGTGTAGCTGCCTCAACTGTTGCTTTTGGAAGCTTGTTCCAATCCCCTAATGTCTTCGGCAGGAATGAGAAGCTTCTGTACTTTGTTCTTGTTTTTACCAGCCAGAACTG